CCCCCCTATGGTTGTTTCGCCACATAGCTAGAAAGATGAAAGCTTTGGGCTTCAAACAAGTCGACGGAGAACCGTGTCTACTGAGACATGAAGAAACAGGTGTGAAGCTACGAAAAATACTTTTTTCATAACTTTCTGAGCGCTCCAATAGACTGCTAGGCAATTGGTCGCAGTGTTGGTGCTTGAGCTGCTCCGCTGGACGTTCTTGCCTTGGTCTCATATATAGAAGCATATGGAGAGTGCGGAAGCTTTGGAAGACTCTCCCTCCCTTCATCGAAGCTTAGCATCGGCATTAGTGCTTCCTGGAGGAGATGGAGTCTGCGATATCACAGGATCCAATCACCCCGAGCGCTAATGCCCGGAAACCGGTTGGATCGTACAAGACGCTGATACCACCTCTATCGGAGCGCCCCCTTCTAGGGTATTTCGAGACGGAGAAGCCTTGTTGTGTCTCCTCCGCTGACTTGGCAGCACACTCGTTCGCCAAATACATTCAGTATATAATGGCTCTTCCGCGATGCTTCCATATCATGCTCATGACGGGGTCACGGTTGTTACAGCCACAACTGCTGGGTGATGTGCGAAGATGGCGTCACAGTCTTCTCAAGACTCTCAGTCTCTGCAGCGAATCTGTTGACTGCCGCCCAGTCAACCGCAGGAGCGAAATGCACTAACATTTGCCTTTATATGCCGTTTTCCTTCGAAGGCGTGGTCAGCGTCCCAGCTCTGCTTCTGTCGGCGTTGACGCTTCTACGTTAGACCTTATAGATTCTTGTAACGGATCGAAACTCGGAATGAGCTTTACCCAGCAGCTCACAGGGATAACAGAGAGGTTCGACATTATGTTGACCCTCTGTTAATAGGCTTCGCCGGTTCGTGGAAAACTGAGACGCGCTCTGCTCTCCCTTTCGCTACTCTCAATCGAACCATGGCCATCAACCCGCCCAAGATACCATCGTTGCCCAAACTCCGGGTCCGTGCCTGGAGCCGGAAATGCTGCAAATGCCGCAACTGCTGAGAATGCATGCTGCTGCCGCGGAGATACTATTGGCGAGCCTAAACATGGCTAATTTGTACAGCGAGGTCTCATATCCAGGCAGCTGTCACGTCGTTTAATACACAGGGGCTCGCAGGGAAGACGTAGCGCCATCTGCCGTGTTGCAATCGTCCCAACCATCCTGCTGATGAAGGACCGTTGTGGACAGTAACCTAGAAATATACTCACGTGGTTTCTTTTCTCTTTTTCGAAAAGGACAAGGTCTGGGAGCTCGTGGAATGGAGAGCAGAAGCCGTTTACATCCACGCCGTCTCCCGAGTGGGCCATCTAGGCGAGGATGACAATGCCAGTATCAGACTCTCTCGTCGACTGCTATACGAACATCATATGTCTCATCCTCACCAGTGTCCCAGCGGTCTGCTTCATCCGTTCAGTTCCATACCGTTAACCGTACGATGGCCCGAGCTCCAACGGTGATCCACCTACTCCTCCTCATTCCTCTATTTTAGGCCTCTATTTCATTGCAAACCGCAATCGAGAAACCGATCAAGCCAACTCAACATGGCGCCGACTCTAAAAACTGCCGATCAGGCTCAAGAGTATCTACGGAAAGCAATGAGCGCCGTACCTCTCTCAGTCTATCGGAGCCTGGATGGAAATCGGATAAACAAGTTGCTTGATCGGTTAGCAGCGAACAAGAGTACGGCGAACCCAAGCAGTCAACCATTGGTTCAACGGGTCAGACGATGTTTTCCCAATGGTCGTCCAGCAAGAGCACCAGCGAAAAAATATACTCCCTGTTAATGTGTATGCCTGCTCTGCATCGAGACAGACGCGGAGTTCATGATCTGGGCACCACCGTCCACTGATGGGACTATTCAACGATCCTAGCCGCATCATATCCCCCTACTTCTCAGCTCGGAAATTGGCCCGCTATTCTCGACGAAGTTCCACCAATTGCTATAGTTTCCAGTCATTATAGAGATTTTCTCGTGTTTCCCTCAAAGGAAAGGAGATGGTCGAAGACCTGCCAGCCTGCAAAAATGATAGCGTACGAGCCGACAGCAAGCGTATCTCTTGCTGCGTTTACTCCGGCGGTTTTCTGTTCCTATCGGTGTGGTACCTCCTGAAATAATAATATTATTATTTTACTCTATATACCTTCTTCTTTATACTGCGGTCCCGGACTGTGGTTAGCCAGCAGCAAAGCTAACCGAAGGAGAAAGAACATGAGCGCACACGCGCCGCAGACGAGCTGTAGCTATATAGCAACATCGACCATAACATTGAGTTTCTTGATCCCGTCTTTCCCCCTAGGGATCCTATTAGCGGCAAGGATGGAAGCGATGGTGCCTCCTTCCCCTCCCTCCCTTCGGTCCCAATACTGATCCTGCACCTCCTCGTTCTGCAAGCGTCCCGTCCCCCCCACGCTGGCTGCCAAACATTCTATCGCCGTCTGGGAGGATGTGGGGGTTCTCCTGCGCCCCTTGTTTCTCCCGGCACCAGGTGCCAGACGCTGCCACAGTCACCTGGGCTTGTGTTAAGTCTGTCGGTTCGTGCACGCGCTGTCTGCATTCTCTCACGCCGACGAACTCTCACTTCTCCTGAAATAGTTATCCAAATAAAAACACCCAGGAGGTCATCGTACCCCACCAGCACGGCGGCAATTACCGTGCCACTAGAAGAGAATAGCACCGACAGCTTGAGCAGACTAGAGACAGAGATGTCCCAAATCTGAATCGCGTAGTCCCCAGGTCGCCGAAGCCCCGGCAGTTCACGACGGCCGGGACTTTGGAGCTATATATCATATATAGACCTATGTATGAGATCGCCGCCATGGGGATCAGTACATACGTCTTGGCCTGTAGATGGCGGAGAAGGTTTCTATGAGAAGGTAATTCACCATGGGGCTGTGGCCCAAGGTGCTTCGCGAGACTGTTCGGCATCGTGCCTTTCTCGCCGCGGCGTTACTGATCGGGGGCCCTCGTTGTCAAATATAAAAAGGCTCGAACCCTCTCTTCGAAACCCTTTTTTCTTTTTTCTTTTTCTTTTTCAAGGTCGTAAGGCACTCGACTTCCCTGCGACTCCGGCCGTCCCCTGACCCCTCCGCTTCTTTCGAAGCAAAGAAGAAAAATATATATATCAATCACAATAATTTCCAACTGTCCCTTCACCAGGTAGTACCCGCGGCCTCCTTTCTTCTTGGTTCTCACCTCCTTTACACCTTGTAGCGACGCCCCTTCTAGTTCGCTGTTACGTCGCTCTGCCCCCTTTTCCTTTGTCGTTTTTTTTCTTGCTCGTTTCCTCATCATGGCCCCAAAGCGGAAGGTTTCTTCTTCTGGTGGCGGCGATACCGCGAAGCATTCTCGGAGTCCTCGTAGTGACAACACTTCTACCTCCGTTGGTCCCGCCTCTTCTTCGTCGGGTCCTGCTTCTTCCTCTCCGGCTCTCGCGCCTTCTCCCGCGCCTCCCCCTCCGCTGGAGTAGCTGGGCAACCCTCTTTGATCTGGAGGCGTCTTCACTTCAGCTCAAGCCATGGCGCATCCCGGCAACGAAACCGAAGCAGTGGTTCGGTTCGCGTCTCTCTATAGCTTGCGAATCAGTTTCGTTTCTTCGCCTGCGCCTCTACCGCCCTGCCGGTGTTTAGTAGGTTGACACAACAATATCCATGTAGAACTTGGTAGGGGCTTCTGCCTCAATTTGTCCCTAGGCTTGCGGTTGGCGTTATTGTCTATCAAGCTGCCTCGACACGGACTCCTGCTTCCGGCCCCATCTTCTCGTTCGGCGGATGCGCCGTTAGCTCAAGATCTGTGTGTCGGCGTATCCGCGACAATGCTGTCTCGGGTTGCCGAAGTCACCACGGGGTTATTTAACGTCCTATAGAGTCCTTTAGCCACACGGCCGAGGGAATATAAACCACAGGCGCCTGATCCCTCTCCAACTGTCTTGTTGCATATTGCGAGGTGCTTTTTAGTAGACATAAAATCAATACAATATGCCCTCACCCATATCTGCTCTCCCATCTGTTTCTGCAAGTGATCCTCTCCAGTGAATGGATACTGTGATCCTCAATGTCTGACACCACTTCTTTGACCCATACAATTGACCTATGTGTAAATGACCCTCAGTAGAAAGGAGAGAGGACAATCCTCTCTTTCCACACTGATTGAACAATGGATGATTGAATGCTGCACTGGTCTTTTGTGATAATGCTCTTCCTTAAGCCCAGCTTGACATCGCACAGGCTCTAGCATGTCCTTGCCATGGTGATTTGTTCCATGATTGCTCCGCCTTAGTGACCCGGTCCGGCCTCGCGGAGTCCTTTCAGGACACACCAGACGCACGCTCCCACGATGATGATGATGATAATGATGATGATCGCAATCGCCATCCCCTCACAGACCAAGAAACAGAATGGCAAGAGCTTTGAGAAAGCCCTAGGATCTTTTTCCCTTGGCCCAACACACAAAGCTTTGTTTCTTCTCAAGTTCAAAACAAAAACGCGTCCGACTCCAAGAACTCAGACTTCTCTATCCCCATCCCATTCTCACATTTCACCCTCCCCAAGCATCATCGAAGCATCGAATCCCCTCTGTTCTTCCTCAAGAATCCATTGTCGTCGAGCGAGACAGCATTGTCTCGATCGTCCATCCCCTTTCATCTTTTATTCGTGGCCATCTCCCCTTTCCCTTGAACAGCCTTGGCAGTTCCTCAATCCCCTATCCCCTAGTTCCCCAAGCACTAAACAGCCGAACGTGTCCACCCACGAGAGGCTTCTCCCAATTCCCTCGTCATTTGTCAGGCTCATATCCACACTCAAATAGGTAACTCAGACAAAGCTCCCGATAGTCGTGACGACTGCGAAGGAACTTGCGAGGAGTGTCAAGGCCCTGAAGATCCCAAACCCCTTCGTGACATCGAAGACCTCAAGCCCAAACAGGGGACCGTTGCGTACTGGGACCCTGTACGTTCCCAAGTTATCCGAATTGGCCGAGTTCGTCGAATGCCCCAAGATTGGCTAGCTCAAGTTCAAGCTGCCGAAGCTCGTCAAGCTGCTGAAGCTCCTCAGGCTACTGAAGCGCCTCAGGAGGCACAAGAGGAACTGGAAAACCGGGACGAGAATAACGAAGCCGTTAAGCTTTGGCTAGAGACTCTGCCAGACTCGATCCCACCCCCGGCAGAAAATGTGAGTTGTCACAATATCCCCTATTGTTTTTCCCTTTACCCATGCTCTCAGTTCACAATGTTGTTTGGATTCGCTCGCTTCTGGTTCCAGCTAAGATGCTAACGATCAACGTCCCTCAGACTCCTGAGGACTTGGCGGATAATCTTCCAGGTATCGGCGACAAGATCATTAACTACGCCGCTCTATCGTCTTCGGATAGCGATTCTTCTTATGGAGAGTATGGTAAGCCACACGAGGCCTGGTTATGCTCGTCTCAGATTCCATAACTTAATGTGGTGCCTAACGTTGCCTTGGAAATAGACAAGACGCACAACTCTCCGATGGTGGCCAATCCGGAGGAGTTCGCCGAGCGGGATCGAGCGACCATGAACGTCCAGGGTCACCTGTTTCCTCTACCTCCGACTGGTGGCGTCCCGTATACGGCCGAGACTACCGGCCAGGATCCGACCTTTAGTGGTCTTGCATCGCTCGCGTCAAACAGTAGCGGTAAGAGGCAGGACGGCCAGGAGACCCAGGGTTCAAAGGCCACTGGGTCAGAGGAGGACGCGATCTCAGGTTCTGTCAATTTCATCCTTGGAAGTGATGGAAGCAAGAGTGTCAAGGATTTGAAGAAGGATAACCAAAAAGACAGTGACAACGACTCGAAGGGAGGAGTCCATGCCGACATCGACACAGGCCCGACACATCAAGATGAGAAAGCTCTTTCCAAAGGGAAGGAGCAGCCGACTGCCTCGAAGCCCCCGGGTTCTGGTCAACAGACGGCTTGCTCCAGTAGCGACAACACGCAAGGGGATTCTTCGGGCGGTGGCTCGAAGGAGGTGCCCTAAACTCGTCACTCATGACTCGGTCCTGGGCACACAAACACAACAACGACGCGCTCTTCCATCCCCAGGACCCGTGTTCAAAGCGTCGTTTCCTTAAAATCTAACTTCGACTTACCGAGACCACAACAAACTTCTTCCATCCGCCCACAAACCCTCGAGTGCTTTTTTTTTTTTTTTTTGCCTTCTTTCTCCCTCATACACAAACCTCACACCACACCTTCAGTCATTCTTATTTTGTCAAAACCCCATATTCATATCCACATCCACACAAGAATCGTCGACCAAAGATGAGCAGGTGGGATGACCAGATTCCCATGATGCCTGATGGGCATCAGTTTGCCCATCAGGCGGCCCAAGGGGAATGCCCTGGCGAGTTTCGAGCTCCGGCAAGCCCATACAGTCCTAACGAAGACTTCCAGCCACATCAAGGCGTCGTCCAAGGCTACTATCAGACCCAACTGCATGAGCAGGGCTTCCGCGACGGTAACCTCGCCCAGAATCAAGGCCCTGGCCCCAGATTCCCAGCCCTGCAGCAAGGACCTGGCCCCAGCACTCCAAACCAGCAGCAAGGGCACAATCCGAGCATGTCTAGCCAGCAAAGCTGCAGCTGTAGTTCTCAACCGCAAAACCCCTCCCAAAGCTCCTTGCACAACGCCTCCCAGACCTCGCACCGTCGGGTGTACCATCACCGGGAGCCGGCCCAGCACCATATCTGGCCCCTATTCTCACAGCCATCTCCGGAGGAAAGGTACTACGCTCCCTCTCCTTCCCCTCACGATGTCGCCATCAACCAGGGCCAGGGGCAGCCGCACCTGCGATTTTGCAGCGAGGGACAGCAACAAAACCTCGGTCGAGCACTCCGCCAAGAGCGGTTTCCGCATTTGGTGTTTCCCGAACAAGATGTCGGTCAATCTTCCCGACTAGCATCAGACAACTGGGCTCCAGCCCATACGGACTCTGCTCCTCCCAAGCTGCATCTTCCACCCATCGCTGATGCGTACCCGTCCTCTCCAAATGGGTTCGACGGACGAGTTCCACCCCCTAAGCCCCAACCTCCCCCCCTGCCTCCGCGACCGCGTCCTCAGAGGTCTCAAGTGGACACTCTGAGGCTCGCCCAAGCGATGGCTGACATTTTTGAACCAGTTGAGCCGGGCAGTTGGGAGCTAGCACCACTTGATGCGCCGGATTTGACTAAGCCTCTACCTCCACTCCCGTCATCAGCAACCCAGGTTCAATTTGTCACAGAGCAGGGCCATTCACACGAGAAAGGAAAGGAGAGAGCCCATTCTGCTAGTCGACGCCAGCCAATCGATGCGTCGACGGTTCAAGATCACGTTCTGCCGCGTCCAGACGCCACACCGGGCCAGATCACAGTGCTGGGTCTTCCAGTTCCCGACGACGTGCCCGAGCCCATGCCTGAGCTTCCTGCGCAGGAGTATAACATCCTGCTAGTTGGAGAGGCCGAAATTGGCATCACCTCATTGATCCTGTAAGAAATTTTCCGCCCTCGAGTTGTTTTTGCAAAGTTGACGCCAACGTTTTGTCAAACAGGACCCAGGTAAATGGCCGTTGGGTCGACGCTGCCGGAAAAGTAAGTTCAGCCAAAAAAAACCCAGAGTCGTTGAAAAGAGAGCCAGATGCTAACCAGACATCGCTTCAGTGGAGCCTCAGTCGTCTAAAGAGAATGGTCGAGAAGAAGATCTCCCACGAGACCGAAATGGCTATCGACACCCGCAGGATCAAGGTCACGCTCTGGGATGCCCCCCTCGACAAAGTCGACACCATCCATCTCTTGAACACCGCTGGTTGGGACGCCGTCATTATCTGCTCGGATGCATCTTTCCCGTGTACACTCCTCGGACCACTGCGTTGGGTAAGTAACCAGAGATCTTTCCCCATATACCCTTATTGTCCCTTCTTCTTCTGCTTCCAGCTACTAACTACTGTTTCCTCTTCTTCAGTGGGCCGCCAACAAGGACACCATCAGGGCGGCCACGTGCCACCCTCTACCAATTCACGTCGTAGCCCTAAAGCGCGATCTTCTGGTCCCCGCTCGTCACCGACTGTCCAGACAGCACGGGGAATTCATGGCCGCGTCGTTCGCCGCTACCGATTACTCCGAGGTCTCCGCCAAGAAGGCCGACGGCGTAAACGGTCTCTTCGGCGACATGTTGCGCAGGATTTACAGGCAACGACTGGCCGATTGGGAGGCCAACATTGAGACACACCGGATCCAGGCGCATCGAGCTCGTACTTACAAAAAGATGTGGGGAGAGGAGCCTCCGGCCGTGTTGTGAGTTGATGTTGTTGTTGGCGCGGCGAGAAAACCGTTCCTCACTTTCGTTTTCTCGTTTCCTTTTCGTTCCCCCCCTCTTTCTTTTTCATTTGTTTTAAGTCCATTCGGACGTTCCGCTCATTTTAACAACCTTTTCCTTTGTCGGCAACCACGCTCCTTTTGTTAGTTTTCTACTTTTCTTTTGCCATTGTCCACACTCCTTTGTCATTCTCGTTTCTTTTCTTTTGTACCTTTAGGGTCGGCGTTTGGAAGGAAGCAGCATGGACAGGGACAATGAGTTGATGATACCCGAGAAAAGACACGAGGGCAAGATTACGAGTAGTAAAAGGGAATGAGGATCAGGAGTTAGTTATGAGATCATGGGTTATGAAAGCCTAGTAATGAATTGTTTTCTTTTCATGCTCATGATGATGATGGACTGAGATGGGAGGAAGTCGCGTTCTGGCGCTACGCGACTGTCGAATTTGCATCTGACACCCCATGGGGTGGATTGATGCATGCACTCAAACACTTCAGCTCTGCTTATCTAATCTCACACCTCAGGCTCACGCCAGCTTCAACCTCATCTCTTCGAACTTCAAGCTCCCAAGCTCCCAAGCTTCAAGAGCAACCAACCAAAAACCACCTATCCAACGTCCACCGACCCGTAAAACTCTCCTCGCCCTCTGGAGTCTTCCTCGAACCTACCAAGACCGAGATTATTACCCAAAAACAGCAGAATTTTAAGCAACAAACCTTACACATCAAAATGGACCCCCCACCACTCCTCCTAACAATCCGCTTCTCAACCTCCCACCCCGACCTCCCCCTCGACATCCCCTCCCCCCGCACAACGTCTCTCGCATCCCTCAAGCTCCTCATCCGGACCTCTATCCCGACGCTCTCGCGCCGCCGCCTCCGCTTCATCCACCAAGGTCGCATCCTCAAGCCCGACTCGACCTCTCTTGCCTCGGCGCTCGACCCGCGGAACAAGGGCAAGTCCACGCCGTCGGAGCGCATTTTTCTCAACTGTTCCATCGGCGACGTGCTTTCGCCTTCGGACCTGGAAGAGGAGGCGCGGACGTCGAAGTTGCCTCCTTCGGATTCTGCGGCACATGCGTCTTCTTCTTCCTCGGAAGGACAGCAGCATCAGCAGCATGATGGCGGGGCGGGTAGTACCAGGAGACGGAGGAGAGGTTTCGATAGGCTGCTGGATTCGGGGTTTTCTGCTGGCGAAGTGAATCAGCTGCGGCTACAGTTTCGATCGATTCACGAGGCGAGACACACGCCTGATACCATGCCCAGTCACGATACCCTGCTCGATATGGAGGATGCCTGGATCGATAATAACGGTACGGGCCAGGAAGATACCACGGGCGAGGACCACTTGACCGGCGGCGGTGGAGGAGGCGCGAATGCCATCGGCGACGTGCTGGATGTGTTTTTGCAGGGGATCGTTACCGGGTTCTTCATGCCGATGGCGAGCATGGCGTGGTTGTTGAGGGAGGGGGGCCTCTGGTCCAAGAGGAGGCAGGTGGCGGTATTTTTTGGCGTCCTGGTTAGTGTTATCATCGGTTTGTTTAAGACCATATCCGGTGAGGCCCAGTGATTATGGTTTCAAGTGCACCGGGAGGAATCATCGACGACGTTTATGACCATCGGAAATGGGACCCTTTTTGTATGAATACGGGGCTTTAATAGGCGGCATTTTGTATTATGCACGACACGAACACATCGACTCGGCATAGATCGAAGCATTCAAGAGAAACGGCGTCAAGGATACAATGGCAAGGGGGCGCATACATTACTTTTCAATTTATACCTTAGCATGGGGATTCCAAGATCCCACAAAACTAATATCAATAAAAGATTCGTCCCATACAAACCAGAGTGTAGGAAAGAATAAAGTCTATATACACTGCATAGTGCATAGTAAAAGAACTCATCAAGGTATCATTATCTACACACAGACAAACTCAAGGAAATTCCTGCACACAGAGCTGTGCCAAACGAGCCCTTCGTTGACAAGACGCTCCATCACCTTTTGTTTGTTCCTCAAAAGAAGGCTATGCCCTTCCATTCTTTTTTTTCCACTCTTTTGCTCACACGCTCACACGATGTTCAGTCCATAGTGATATCTGAAAGATTACAGATACAAGCTCTGGGCAGCGACAATGTCGCGCCTGATCTTGTTCAGACTCTCTTCAAACTTTTGAGTCAGCTCCTCGCTGCCCATTACCTTGCCGGCCTGGGCCATTTGGCGAAGCAATTCCTCGAGGCGGCGGAAATGGCGGATAATGGAGCCCTCGTAGACGTCCGCCATTTTGCTAAAGAAATTTGTTAGAAACTAACTCGTCTGAACGGGTAAAGAGGGGACATCGAAGAAAGAATAGAGGGCAAGAAAAAGAAGGGGGAAAAACTTACCAAATCTCCGCAAACGGACGACCCTCAGCCCACGCATAAACAAGCTCCATCAACTGCCACTTCAGCTTCTCCACATACGCTTCTTCGTCCATATCAAGCTTACTCTCCTGGCTCACCCTCGCAATGATCCTCGCCTTGGCCACAATCTCCGCGTACGGCTTCGCCAGGGCCTCCCTGAGCGCCGGTGCGTTGACCTTCTCGTCGAAGACGAAGCAGCTGAGCACGGACGCGCACATCTCGGGCGTCATCTCGTTGAAGAAGCGCTCGAAGAGGAGCTCCGAGAGGAGCAACTCGTGGCCCTCGGTCGACGAGATCTCGCAGGCGACGCGCGCCTTGAGCTGCACGACCTCGGCCTCATTGATGAAGCCGAGGCGGCGGAGGACGCGCTTGCGGGACTTGAGCTCTTCCATTTGCACGATGCTGTGGGCTTTGGCGATGGACATCTTCGTCTCCTTGATCTTGTCCGTGAGCTTGAGCTTGCGGCGGTAGAGCTCCCAGAGCTTGGGTAGCTCGGGCGAGCCGTGGAGGGGGTTCGCTAGGAGACGGGACTCGAGAACTTCGATCTTGCGGAGGAGCTGCTTGAAGGAGTCGTCGGTGATGTCCATGTTCTCGAGCGGGTCGAGGATCGGCACTCCGTCGGGGAACCTTCGCTGCACTTCGCTGAGTGCTTTCCGGAGGTTGGCTCGCTCACTAGGCGAGTCGATGTTCTTGGGCATGAAAAGCCGGATCTGGCTAATCGACTGAATGCAGGTGAGGAGGCAGGGAATTCGCTCGAACCGTGTCTTCTCTCCAGGACGCTCAGGGCTGATCCCCTTAGGTAGGGCCAAGTCGCCGCTGGGGAAAACAAAGTTGGTGTCCGTATCGGCGGGCACATTCATAAGAACGTCTATCATCTTGGACTCCTGAGGCGGGTAATCGTCGTTGCCGCCAATCTTATTACGGCGACGATCCATGGAGTTGACAACAATACCCCAGCCGAAATCGCGCGTCTCGAGAACGTCACCCTCGTCTCCCGTAAATTTAGGGTCGTAAATGCGCACAAGGCGGCCGGGCTGTAAGAATTCCCAACAGTGCGCGGGATGCTGGATGACGGCTCGCATGTCTTGGGTATACGAGTTGATCTGCTTTCGCAGGTTGTAGTATTCTTTCATGGTCGACTCGTCGGGGATCATCAATCCGTCGCGGTCGAGCTGCAGCGACATGAGCTCCTTCTCCAGGGCGGGCACACTAGCAGCGTTCTGGAACTGGAAGAAACAACGCTCCAGCATGTACTCTGGCGAAACGGCCTCGATACGCAGAAGGTTCAGCACCATGTTGTAGCCGAGGTAGAAGGCAGAGTTTAGCCTCTCCTGTTCTCCCACGACAATCTCCTTGGCGACCTCCGGCTCCATAGACTCATCAATCATCATAATCACAATACCTCGAGCATCAAGACCACGACGACCAGCACGGCCAGACATCTGGACATACTCGCCGGGGGTGAGAGGGCGTCTCTTAATACCATCCCACTTTGTGACTTGCGTGAACACGACGGTCTTGGCAGGCATGTTTAGACCGATAGAGAACGTCTCAGTTGCGAAGAGAACCTTGACGAGGGACTCCTGGAAGAGAATTTCAATGGTCTCCTTCAAAATAGGAAGCAAGCCAGAGTGATGCACGCCAATGCCTCGCTCCAGAAGGGGGAGAAGGTTGGCAATCTGCGGAAGATCGCGATCGGCCTCGGCCAAGCTCATGACGGCATTGGAGAAGACGCGCTGCACCATCTTCTTCTCCGAGTCGTTATTGAAACAAATGTTGGATATCGAGAGGGCAAGGCTCTCGCATTCTCGCTTGCTGAAGCTGAAGACAATGACGGGGTCGAACTTCTTGCGAATAATCATCTTGATGACCTTGCTGATGTCTGACTTGCTATCGGCCACCTCGTTGCGTCCCTTCCTACCCTTGTTCTTACCCTTGCCGCCGCCGCCGCCGCCACCGGGCCGCTCTTCGCTCTCCTTCTTCTTCTGCTCGACCAGCGCCATGGCCTTATTGAAGTTTTGCTCCTTGAAATTCCTCTTTTCGTCCACGACGAGATATATTCCGTCATGGCCGGCAGGGAAGAAGTAGTTTTGCAGGGGTGTAGGTCGGAAGTCGGTATATACGACGTGACAGGCCTGGTGGTGGATCTTGGCTATCCACTCGGCGAATTGGAAAGCGTTGGGAATGGTGGCGGAGAGGAAGACGTAGCGGACCTTGTCGGGGAGCAAGATGATGGTCTCCTCCCACACGACACCTCTCGTCTTCTCGCGAAGATAATGCACCTCATCGAAAACGACCCAGGCAACCTCGCGCATAATCTCGGAACCTCTGTACAACATAGACCGCAAAATCTCCGTCGTCATTACCAGACACGAAGCCGTAGGGTTAATCGTGATATCACCCGTCATCAAGCCTACGTCGCCGAAGATGGCATCAAAATCTCGATACTTTTGGTTACTGAGGGCCTTGATCGGACTCGTGTAGATGACTCGCTGATTCCGCTTCAAGCACTGCGCAATAGCATACTCCGCAACAACCGTCTTTCCAGCCGACGTATGCGCCGAAACCAACACGCTCTCATCCCGCTCGATTGACGCCACCGCAAGACTCTGGAAAGGATCGAGCTTGAAATTCCACGTCCTCGCGGGCTCGGCCGGGGGTTTGTGTTCGGATAGCGGCACGTACTCGTAGTCGAGGTCCGGCGGTAGGGCAACCTGATGCTGGATATTGTGGGAAAGAACGAGGGAGCCCTCTTCGGTCTCGGTCGTGACCAAGGACTCGGCCGCAGCGACCTCGCGAGATGCTGCCGTCTCGAATGTATCTGTCAGGACGGGCTTCTCATCTTCCTTCTTGCGTCGCTTGTCGTCGTGCTCGTCCGAGGCGGGAGCACTATCTCTGGATGATTTTGTCGGCGCGGATTGGGTCGACTGTGGGGAACTGCCGTTCTTTATCGCACCGTCGGCCCTACGCTTCTTGCGCTTGTCTGTGGGCGGTGCGACCGCAACGGGGGCTTCCTCGGAACCGGACTCATCGTCGGATTGAGGGTCGGCCGCGAAAACGTCAAAAAGATCAGCCATCTGTGAGGATTCCGTTAGGGACAGATGGTATGGGGTATTGTGACGACGTCCGTCGATGGGGATTTTAGACGAAGAAAAAAGGTCAGATAAAAGAAGAAAAAAAAAAGTCGAAAAGCGGGCGGGAGTTGGCTGGAAGTGGCAGAAAAGCGAGAAGCTCCAGTAGGTTGAAATTAGGAAGGCGGTGGGAACATGTTCAATTGATCCGCAGATTTCCCGAGAAACCCAGCTTCTACGCCGAGATGTGGAAGGTACATACGGCGACTTAATTCCACGATTCTATTCAGTGCATTTTCGAGTATTGTCTGGTACCATTTTCTTCATCTTCTGCATCTTGGAGAAGGCTTATAACTAGATATCTACAACGGAAAATATGATACTAATACAAAAACAAGAGAAAAATAACGAAAATAAAAAGAGGATACTCAAGAAAGTATACGCTCCCACTATATCATCACAACCGCCGCCAAAGCCGCCACCAAAGCAAGAAGACTCCCCCCGACCCTCGGCGCACCAGCGACCTGAACCGGCGACTGCTGAGCAGCAGCGCCCTGCGCTCCCGCACTGGGGACGGGGCCGGCAAGCGTCGTAATAGTAGAGAGGCCAAGAGGTGGAGCGGGAGCAGTGTCACTAACCTGAGCCGCAGCCGCATTTTCGACGACGGGGACTACGCCAGGGACAACTGTGAGGGTGGAGAAACCAACAGGAGGGGCAGGAGCAGAGGCATCAGGAGCAAACACCGCTCTCGATCCGCTAAATTCCGCCGCACTCTCCGGCGCGGGAATGGCGCTTGGGATGACAGAGAGGGTGGAGGAGCCAGGTGGAGGAGCAGGAGAAGAACCAGGCGGAGGAACCACCGCGCTTGACCCGCTGACTTGAGCTGCATTCCCCGCTGCCGGGACAATGGTGATGGTAGAGAGACCAAGCGGAGGGACAGGACTAGAGACAGCTGGAGCAAGTACGGCATTTGTTCCACTAGCCTGCGCCGAATTTCCCGGAGTAGGAATGACGCCAGGGACAACAGTAAGAGTAGAAAGACCGAGAGGCGGGGCCGGAGCTTCGACAGACTGCTGACCGTCAAGCCCGCGCGTGATAGTAGAGAGCCCGAGAGGTGGAGGGACCGCGGTTGTAATGACGGCGGTAGGATCGACGGTCTCGCTGGCAACAGTCTCGCTGACATCAGTCACAGTCGTGCCAGTGGGCTGCTGCTGCTGCTCCCTAGTGACGGCATTAACCACCGAAGTAGGCACAAACGTCGAAGCATCCGTGATGCCCGCGAAGCAACCACGGGCCTGCGTAGCGGCAGGCGGGCAGACAGTAGCTTCGTAGGTGACGGTTGTCCTGAGCTCGATGGGACAGACTACGGCAGCCGTGGCGCAAGCGACAGCCGTAAGCTGCGTAATAACCCCTTCGGCTCCGAGGGTGCGACCCACGAGTTTGGGGGTCTCGGCCTCGTAGGTATGGATGGTACGTTGGAGAGTAGATGTCCTCGTAATATGGATTGTGGTGACGGGCTCGCCGGCAGTCAAGGTCCTCGACGAACCGGAGCCTATGGGGAGAACATTTGAAGCCGCCGGGGTCGCGACGCATTGACGTTCCGTAGCCAAAGGCAAAGACCTAATCGGGACCGGCTGGCCGAGCGGCACGATGCACGCAGTAGGCAGCGGAAGCACGAAAAGGGTCGTGGTGGCGGAGGGTTCGAGACCCACGAAATTGTCCAGGAAGGAGACGCCGACCTGGGCGAAGGTGCCGATGTTGACGTTGATCTCGGGGACGGCCTCCAGAGCGCAAGAGTTCGTGGGAGCGACGTTGCCGATGAACTCGACGATGTTGATGAAGGCGCCGACCTCGGCTCCGGCGCCGATGTTGGGGAGATCGACGAATGGGATACCAACTTCGCCTAGACCAGGGACAGACACCCCTTGGTCGGTTCCTCCACCGATTCCAAGAGAGGCTTTGAGTTGAAGATCCACTTTTATATCGACTTGGGTGTTGTTCTTGTTGATGGTGATTGGCAGAGGCTTCGAGACGACACCGGTGCTATGACAGAAATCGTGTTAATTTCCTTCCTTTCCTTTCCAGTAACCAAATTTTTGAAAAGGGGTTGTTGTTCATACAAATCTTCAGAGTGGAGGCCTTCAGCGGTGATATCAATCTCAAAGAAAGATCCATCAGGAATCTTGAGATAAAATCCACCACTAAGATCAACTTCGGCAGAGAGCTCAAAGAGGAGGACGAGATCGATGAAGAGACCAGCCTTGAATCCAGGCAGCTCAATGTTGGCGAGCCCAGGAGGAAGTTTAAGTAGCGGAACTTGAAAGTTGCTTTGAGCGGAGACAACTACGTCCAGCTCAACGAGGGCCTCGACACCCACGAGATCGATTCGGAATTTGGGGTTGACAATGTCGTTGAGGTCGGAAGGGAAGGTCGCTTCCACACTTCCTTTGGAGCAGCACCTCGTGCAGACTACTTCAATTGAGGGGCCGGTAAAGAGGGTGATGTCGGAACTATTAAACCATGTTAAGTTAATGGCCCGTTGCCAAATAAAATGAAGACAGGAGTGGCATATTACCTATTGAACAATGGCTCATTTTCAAGTGTCTGTTCAAGACTGACAGATCTCGTATCAGTCCTCGCCACAAGACCATTCCGCCTAACCATAGGCGCACCAGGTTCCCTCGAGACCAGGCGCCCGTCCCTGTGAACAACAGGCTCAGGTACGTTTCGGACTATCTGGGCTCCAGAACCACCCGCCTTTCCATCTTGATGAGACACAAAAGGGCTAGCAAGAGCCAGCGGCGCCACAAGGCATGCCGCGAGGAGGGAACTGAACCGGGTCATAGCGGGCAGAGAAAGAAAAGAATATGAAGAACGGTCAGGGTTCCGGCCCCGTGTTGAAGAGAAGGGTTGACAAAAAGAAGAAGGCACCGAGTCCAAGAAAAAGAGTGACTTGGTCTCAAGAGAACCAAGATCACAGAAGAAACGAACGAAAGGTGTCGAAGGAAAAGTCACCAAACAGGAGAAAGAAACGAAAAACCGAGATGGGACGGATGTTTCCATGGGGGGAAGGAATGGGCCGGGGCCTTCACTTATACACCCATTTCACGATGGCAAGCCTTCCCAAGCGGAGACCAGGGAGTTGGGGTTAGAATCCTTCCCAATTCCCGCATGGTCCAAATGTCAGAGACATACCCCGTCTTCGCCCGGGGGGGCATACCGAGAGAAGAGGGACGGCTCGTCAAGGGGCTCCCATCACCAGGCTGAGAGTAAGACAAGATCCCGGTCTAGACACTAGTACTTCGTAATACTACACTCAATGGGAGAGAATTCTACTGGTACTACCGTTACAGTGAGTAGAAATTCGCATGAGAACGCTAAAATACACTGCCATGGTAATCATCGATGCGGAGAACAGAGGTAGTCGAGGCGTAGCATTGGCAGAGGTGCAAACAAGAAAAGCGATCCCACAAAAGGGCAGGTCGACCACTTCTGCGACGATCATCTGAAGGATTCAATCCAGGAACTGCCAAGGGAGATCCCCAGAGGATGTGTTGAACTGTGGGAACTTTCCGGTCATCGGAAGCGATTTTCTTATTAGAGTTGGCCAATGATAAAAGTCCAAGCAGACGTCACATTGCCAGATTGGGTAAAAGGGGTGGGCAGCAAAGCACAAGAGTAGGAGCAGGGGTATGGACGAAGAGGGGGAGAAGGGAAATATAGCTCAATCACAATGGATGATGGAATTGGGGCCGTTTGAAGGGTCGCCATGACCAGAGGATAGACCAGAGACACATGGTCGATGCGCCAAACGTCAGTGAGGCTGGGGCGATCTTGGATACCAGTCGGTGTTAGAAGGTTGCATTGGACGTTCGTGCTGGCAGGGGCGCGACACACTCCGAGTTTCAGAGAATTTTCTTGAGCGTCTGTGTCCCTTGCTGCAAACTGCGACATCAGCACTCGATGTCTCGAGCAGCCAAGAACTGTGCGAAACAGACTCCTGCATATTTTTGTTTGCGCGACGAACATTGGACATTTCCGGTTCGCGATCATGGAGGACCTCGATTATCGCACCAATTTACCCAATTGAACTAGGGGAGGACAGAGCCCTTCTGGTCCGCATGGGCTGGCTATTACTATGCTCCCAGGCCATTCCGAGCGTTACTGCATTCTGGCGTCGGCAAGCCATCCAGGCCAGGCTCGCCATCAGGCTCCGTGTTCAGGCAAGGACTTTAGAGGCAATGGAGCTCAAGATAAATCGAATGCCCCGCGAAGGATCCCCAAAGGATCAAAGAGAGCCCCTGTATTCCAATTCTTCCAACTCGAGGCCAGGCGGTGTCCTGCACCCAACGTCTCGCAAAGGCCGTCCGTATATGCGACCAGGAATCCATCCACATTCCAGTTCGCAATCTCCAGAGACCAGGCCAGCCTTCCTAGCTAGCGAGTAAAAACCATGCCAACAATCAGAGAACCGGCCACCTTCGAAGGATCGAAGGAGCGGGCCGCAGGCTTAGTTTAGCTAGCCAACGTGGCGACGATTAATATGGCGATGGCTCGACTTCGTCAGTGTCAGTGTGTCAGATCTCCCATCGAAACCCGGTCGAGAAACAAACACGCAAAGAACAAGCATATCAATCTGATATATTCTAATGTAACAGTGAGCATGAAGGTGAACAATTCCACAAGCGCCCACCTACATCATTCACCTCCTGCTAGTAAACATAGAATAGGGGAAAACAGAGGAAAACCGACAACAGACAAAAATAGAAACGCCCTGAAGATGAGGAAGGCCCCCAGGCAAGATATCTAGAACAACAGCCTATAGGGAAAAAAAAAAGAACAATAAAAATTAGACCAAACAGTAACAAAACACAAGGATCCAACAGGCATTAATCATGGTATTCCCTTTCCCATCATCGCAAAACCCGATTTTTGCGCCTGAACACCACATGACAAAATGCATATCGTGATCCTTTTGCCCCCTTCATATGTCTGCATCACTAGTACAAAGATGAAAGGGGGGTAAATGAACAAAACTCAGCGGCTGCAAAAAGCAGCCGCACCTCAAAACCCCCTTACACAACACCGTTCATGAAGAATCACTCTTACAACATCCACCACAAAGGGCCTACAGAGCCCTGAGAGTGATCAGTGAAACTCCAATGCCTGCTTTAAGCGGCAGGTAGCCCTCGAGACACCAAGGCTCCTCACTTGCCGCAATAACTCCATTAAGATCGAGACTTGTTAGCGAGACGCGCCATCGGCGCACTCATGTCCCTCCTCTCCACACCCTTAACCATCTGCCTCCGTGGCGTCGCGGCTCCCTGTGCCGCGCTTCGCGCACGCCCCCGACGTTCACGGATCTGAGCAAGCGCCTGTTCCCGCGTCATGGTCGGCGTCAAAGCCGGGTTGGAGGCGTCAAAGGACGACTGGCTGCCCCGAGACTGGCTCCGAACGCGGTTCTGGAAGTCGGACTCATCCGGGATCTTATCATCTCGTAGAGGGACTGTTGTCGTGGTGGTGACCGTGTAGAACGCCGCCGAGGTATGGGGCCGCGATACATCCGTCGTGTCTATCTGCATCTGAGCGCGTGGCGTAGCGTTCTCATCCTCATAGACGATGCATCGGGCGTTGTCCTCGTTGGACATGTCGGACATGGTCGGGATCGAGGGGAGATCGTCGGTATAATCATCATGCATGTCTTCATGGGGGGCGTTAAGGAGGGAGAGGAGAGAGGTTCGCTCCTGTGCTAGCAGGGCAAAGGAAGGCGGGTCGACGGAGGGAGTCCTGGCGTACTTGGGATGATCCGGCCTAGGTTCGACAGGGGTAGGTGGTTCGGTATAGGTATCTTCTTCAACCTTTTCCAGAGCCTCAGCCTCTTCCTGCGAGATGGTGCGGAAGATGCCCTCCTTAGGGCAGAAAATAGTGCTTCGTCGCTTTTCCTTGGGTTTGGGCTTGGGCTCCAGAGCAACGACTGCCTCTTGCTCCTCCTCCTGGATAGGGGCTCTAGCCTGAGCCTCCAATTCTGGAATGGCCATTTCGGCGTCGGCGGCCCTCTTGCTAAGAATGGCCAAATCAGCAGCGTCCAAAATCTCAATATTCTGAGGTCGCATGCGGCGAGGCGAGAGCAAGGTCGTCCGTCTGTTCGACCTTGCGCATGGGCAAGAGCGTAGCTCGCACTCTGCGAGGAGGAAGTCAACGTGTTCTTGCGCCCGGTCCGCGCGCTTCTTCTCCCACTCGAGCTGCAGGGAGAGATCCTCAATCTCTTGCTCACTAGCTGCAGAGGAGACAATGTCCACGACGGACAAGGATGCCCTGGGCTTCTTCTTGGGGGACGCAAACTCATCGTCCGCATCGTCGGCCGGGGGAAGCGGTATACAGCCCTCGGCAGCGATGCGAGCTACCTCCTCGTTCTTCGCCAGGGTCTTGAAGGCATCACGTTCCTGTTCGACGACCTTGACCCTCTCCAACGCCTGCTCGAGCTGCTCTTGCACTCCGACAATCTGATAGCGTGCCTTGAAGGCTTCTTGCTCTCGAGCGCGACTGCGCTCCTTCTCCTTGACGAGGCTGGACTCGGCTGTCTTTAGGGACTCCTTAGCCAACTTGAGTTCTTCCGCATGTTTAACTCCGACCGAGTGCGCTTTGAAGTACTCCTTTCGTTGTCGTCGGATCTCTTTTTCCCAAATCGCTTGCGTATGTTGGTGCATTTCTTTTAAGCGGATGTATTGGTCCTTTAGAAAACTCCAATTAATATCCATCGAACCATATTCGAGGCCGCCATTTGGGGTGTAGGGAAAGACTTACCATAACCTGTTCCATGCGCTCACTAACTCGCTTCTCTCTTTCCTTGCCGTCTTCAAGGGCTTTTCTCAACAATCTATTCTCCTCGCGAGTTCTCCGCACCTCATTTTCCGCCTCTTCGCGGCCGATAAGGGCCCTTGTGAGCGCGGCGTCTGCCGTCTTGCGTTCGAGCTGCTTTCCATGGCTCGCGAGGCTGTTGAATTGGGAAATCTTCTCGTGAACGGAGCTGTCCCGTAGCTCGTTTCGTATCGTGGACATGAGGGCGGAATGGGGTCTCTGTTGGTTAACGCGGTCTGGCGAGCAGATATTCAGTGGCCTTGCAGACCCCGGAGGGCTGCTGGAGAAGTTTGGGTTATTTTCCATTGCTAGTGGATGGTGATGTAGTGCGTGGGTGTGTTTGTCGGGGCGTGCGGGAAATAAGAGAGGACCTCTTAAATGCTATTGCATCTTAAGCAGCAGAGAAGAGGAATCCGATTTGCCTAGTCGGAATTATTAGTCTTGCTTTTGGTTTTCTTTCGCAAAGAAAAGCGTTCAGTGACTGTGTGCCTGGGGGAAGATTCGAAATGCTGAATCCAACTTGTTCGTGGCGATGTTTACTTTCTAATTGAAGTTGTCTTGGTGTTGTATCACGCCCCGCCAACCCGCCAAAATTGGCAGGCACCAATGGATCATATTTGATCATATCATTGATAAGCCGTTGACTGGGAGACGGCCTGAGGACAAACGCGGCTGCGAAAGCTGGAAATGGTTATATCACGTGACCAATTACTGCCATTTTGGCCCTGCCGAAATTAGGCGTGCAGATGAAGTGGAGCGGAAAGAGCTGCACAATGCACGAAGATTGGACAGATCGTCACTCTCACCGTCGTTGTGCCATTGAGCCAAGAGCTCTCTAGATCACTTGAAGCTTCTGCAGCCACTTTGGAGCTCTCGTGTTAGTCCGAAGCTTCGTCCATAGACCTGTCTACATAGCTGCCAAGAGGCTGATCAATCGAGAGAGCTCCTTGGAGCTCTTCTCTTCTCGGCCCACTTTACTCAGAACCAGCCGAATCGCTGTAGGATTCGAGTCTCTCTCTGAATAATTCCTGGTTTCGTTCTTTAAGAAACGAGTCGATACGAGCCTCGTGTCCTTGACCATCTCTCAACACGCGATTGGTCTTAAGAAGATCCACCTCCCGTATTGGCATAAATTGTGGCGTGACCTTTCCAGGAAGTGTGGCTAGAGGAACGGGCCGTACGTAGCACTTTACCTCGAATCTGGGACGTAACAGGTGGGATATTAATGAGACAGCTGTCCTGAAATCAATGGGGTCTGATATTCTACACGGCGTCTCCCACTCTTTCCCTCCCTTTCAACTTCTCAATTGAATAGACGACTGGCTGGCCAGAAGTAATCGACCTGATAGAAAAATCCACAGGATTCCCACGATTCCAAGTTGAAGCTCTGAGACCACCCGGACGCTTCACCCACCCAAAGCCACAGCCCACCATGGCAGATTCAAGCTCGGTACGGCAGCGCAAAGCGCCATCAACCGAGAAACCCTCGCCTAAGACAAGCGATACTCGGAGAAGGGTTCGAGAAGAAGATGATTCCTCCTCCTGGGTGGTTGACGCCCTCCGCGTAATCACCTTTCTGTTCCTCGCCTCGTGCGGCCTCAGCTACCTCATCAGCGGAGGCGAGACATACTTCTGGGGCATGAAGAATAAGCCCAATTACATGCGTCTAGACTGGTGGAAGAGCCATTTCGTACGTCTCGTCAGCGCCCCAATATCCCTACAAATCCGGAGCTAATCAAATCATACAATAACAGCAACCACCCCTCGAACTCACCATCGAGGAACTCGCCGCTTTCGACGGCTCCGACCCATCCACACCAATCTACCTCGCCATAAACGGCACAATCTACGACGTCACGCCCGGCCGCCGCATCTACGGGCCCGGTGGCTCCTACCACTGGTTCGCAGGCTGCGACGCCTCTCGTGCCTACGTAACGGGATGCTTCGCTGATGACCGCACAGCCGACATGCGCGGCGTCGAAGAGATGTTCCTCCCCCTCGAAGACGTCGAGGTCAACGCGCTGTACACGAAGGAAGAGCTCAAGGAGCTGAGGAAGCAGGAGATGAAGGCGGCGAGGGAAAAGGTGCATGAGGCGCTGAAGCACTGGGTGGATTTCTTTGCCAAGAGCGATAAGTATAGGAGGGTCGGTACGCTGAAGAGGGAGAAGGGGTGGTTGAAGAATGAGCCGAGGAGGGAGCTTTGTGACGCTGCGAAGCAAGGGAGGGTGAAGAGGAAGACGCCGGAGGAGAGGGCTAGGGAGAAGGAGGAGCAGGAGAATGGGGGAGCGTAGACTCGGCTGGGGATTAAGATGAGCATATGGAATAACGATGATCATTTGGAATTCTGTGGCCTTCGTCAACTCGAGGTATTGATGCTTCTCTTCATCGTAAGAGCTGTCAATTCTTCAGATCAACTGTTCGTGATAAATACCCTACTCTTTCATTTCCCTCCACCACGAACCTCGATTCTGTGCTCGTCTGGCTGTTGTCGGACAGCCCAGCACCGGATCCGACCCTTGTAGACTGAGCACAAGATGCAACATGTCAACGCACAAGAAACCGCAACTACTCAACTCCAACTTCAAGCACATGTCAATATCACGGAGAGAGAGAGAAGATCAAATTCCAGAAAAAGAAATAAGAAAACTCGATTCATGCAGTTAATCGATATGCAAAACACGCCGTACCAACATCAGGGAACCATCTAAAGGTGGCCCACCAGAACCGCGCGAGGGAAACATTCCAACTATGTATAAATAGTAGAAGAGAAAGAGAAAAAAAAAAAAGTCACCTCTCCACCCCGACACCTAGCGAACTAACGTAGGATAGATTCCTTTTCCAAGACCTGGACATCGAAGCAGAGAAGGGGTTCTTTTCGAAAGGTATTAACTTCTCCAAACAGCACCTCCGTTTTGTACACGATTCCTCCAGAAAGAGGACCCAACTCCCAACCGCCATTCGAGACGTCTGAACCGTAAAACTGAAAAAGAGGAAAAGAAATGAATTTGCGTGTTTTCCCTTTTTACAGGAGGACGGCAGCAGCACCGGCCACGACAGCCAAGAGGGCAGCGGGTACCCTGAGGTCGGCGGCGGCGGACTGACCATCGGTGGGCTGGCCACCGTTGTTGTTGTTGTTCTGTCCGTTGGTGCCGCCGACGCCGGGGGAGGGGAGAGTAGCTTGTTGGACGGCGGCGGCGATGGTGCGGTGGTTCTCGAGAGAGCGGGAGCTGTTGGCGGCGGTGCTAGAGAAAGGAATCTCATGTTAGTATATTCCCACTTGCCCTTCTTTTACCAGCTGCTGGTTCCATGAATTCTACTTACTTCTCGTTGATAACCATGGTCATACCGTTCTGGCAGTGACGACCCTGAGCGCAGTAAAGCCAGATGGGGCGGGTGTCGTTGATCATGATGCTGTAGACGGGGATCTGACCGGACTGCATGGCGTTCATGGCGGGGACGAAATCCGTGTTGATGCCGACGGCGGAGGCGTTGATGGCGGAGATGGGAGTGCAGGGCTGGTCGAAGGTGGACTGGGTGACGGTGTGGTTTCCTCCCATGAACTGGAACTGGACCATGGAGCCGACGGGGGCGGTGACCTTGTCGGGGGAGAAGATGGTGCCGGCGGTTCCGTTGGCGCTCATACCGACGAGGACGGGGATGACCTCAACAGCTAGACAGTTCGTGTTAGTGCCATGTTCCCTTTCGTCCAATCCAATTCTGCTTCCATGTTCTCTCGATCTTCGTGGAGGGCTCGCTACGTACCAGAGGCGGCGCCGAAGAGGGCGGCAGCGGCAAGAGTCTTGAACTGCATTTTTTCGAGAATTTTTTATAAACTGGGTATCTGGAAAATTTGAAAGAATGGACGGTCTTCCTCAAGATGACGAAAAAGATTGTATGTAAAAAGATGTATATAAAAAAGCGTCTAGCGCTGCTTGCAAGAGGACTAGCCTTTTTGTTGGAAGAAGGTTAAGTTGGTGAAGGAAAAAGGAAGACGGAGAAGGAAGAGAAGCAAAAAAACAAGAGAAAGGAACTTTGGTGTGGATGGATTAGAAGAGAAAAGAGAAAAGGAAAAAAACAAAAGAGGCCAACTGGGTCTGGCAGGAGAGAAACGGCATGAATATATGGAAGCTCGGGATCGCCCAGAGCTCAGATCCCACCCCCTGCAATGGATGTTTGAAGTCCATCTCAGCAGGGATGGCTCCGGGCTTGGTACGAGTTACGGGTGGGAGAACGGAGACAGGACATGGAAGACGTGGAAGACATGGGGTAGTCGTGTGCGGGTGAGGTTTTTTGAAACACGTTTTGACCATCTCATCTCGACGTTGCGAGGACACCCATTGCAACGTCTGCTTGGCGGGAAAAGAGGAGACCAGCAGGTCTTCACACTTGCGCGTCCGAGGCCTGGCCAGCCATCATGAAGAATGGACGAACCACACCTTCGGATCCACGATGTTTGCTTGCTTCCCATAGCCTGCGAACAAGTAATTCGATGCATCCTTCACAAGTCAAGTCTCTCGCAGTATCTATCAAGAGTAGAGAATTTCGTTTATACTATCGCCACGGGCGAGTCCTGTGACAGCGGGTCCAAATAGAGTTAACTTCAATCTTCACCCCTTCACCCACTTACAAGATTCAATTCAGCGGAGCCTCAATCTGTCTTGGCTTCCTGCATGCTACCAATTGAGACGCAAGCCGGCCACTCATAGCCGGTAGGTCATCGACAGCAGCCGGCGCTTCCCAGACAAAGACCCCGCAGCAATAAAATCCGATAGGACCCTGTCAGGGGCAAAGAGAGAAAAGGTAGGGGTCACCACCACCAAAGAATTGCCTGCATACATTCTTCTTTTCCAAGGGGAGCCTGGGTTGCCAATGCGGACAAGAAAGAGGCCGAAATAAGGTTGAGGCAAGCGTCAACTGCCTTTTTAGCGTTAGACCAGGGGTTTAAGCTCGGTTGTGTGTCAAGCCGGCCTGGCTGTGACAAGGTCGAGACATCCAAGTGTTTCAGCCTCCAACCCCCCCGGGCCACCGCGCAAGCTCTCTGGGTTTCTTCGGTGGCACCCAGTAATACCGGAGGAAAAAAGGTAAAAAGGTAAAAAGCCAATCGAGGCAATGGAGTTGCAGTGATTCGGGTCCCCGGCACCCAGTCAAGCCGGGACCCGCGATGAGAGGTGAAGCTGATGAAGCGCCGAGGGCGCTATCATGGACACCCTGGAAGCGTAGAACGAATTTTGCTGGATGTGATCAATTCGTGTTATCTATGGGTTATTCGATTTGGGATGCCTTGCGGTATTCCTAGAACGGCGATTCGTATTTTCTAAGCGCCCTTCACCAGCCCGGGCTGGGAATTACTTTTGGGTGCCTGGAGCAAAGCTGGAGCCGGGGGACGAAATTGGGCCCTGCCAATATTTGATGACGTCTTAACGCATCGATGCAGAGTTGAATCGAAGCGTCCCTCTTTTGTCAATATCCTTGATGTCCTCCATTGATCAATGTCATCCTGTCATCCCCATCCAGTTGTTGACGGTGACTTGCTACTTTACTCTGTACCCCAGGAATGAATATTTCGCTCCCTGAAGTCTCGTTTACGGCACTAGAAGTGAAGAAAGACTCAAGGGCATCGCTGACACTAAGAATGTCACCTTCCATAAGATCGAATCTCACGTCTCGACCCCTCGACAGGGGCTAAAAGTCAAAGCACACTTCAGAGTCCGGGCTTTGGCAAAAGTAATTACATCGTGGTAGTGCCCCATTTTGGGTGCCGAGCAACCGCCTTCCAGCCTCCTTCGTAATCCACCAGACTAGACTATATAGCCGAAGGAGAAGACTCGCCAGGCGATGCAACGGTATTCATGTTTCGTGAAAAATCACACCCTGGGACTCAAAGAAACAAACATCCATGCACCTACTCCGTAATCGACTCCTCTTTGCATTCCAGATTACTATTACAGGTCGATGGCTGTGCTATGTAGTAGCTATGATCCCGTGCTCAGTCCTGATCGGCGACGTATTGCCGTGTTCTGTAGCCCTTAAGCTCGACGAGCCTGAGGGAAAGGATAAGCTCAACATCTGACATCAAGGGACACCCTAAAGTAGCATCCGCAAAGACAAGCCAACTCCTTGAATCCACCGAATCGAGTCGTAGGAAAGTATTATCGCCGTATGATAACACGCACTGGTCCTAAGTATAGACTAAGAAGTGTTGCAACCGAACGTCCGTTATCCCCAGGACCACATTCTCCCATGTTTCACACCTCAACCTTGTTCCTCGACCAAAAAAAAATCCCCTTCCCCCGATCCCCTCCTGAAAACGGTATCATGATTTTCCTTTCGCGCCGCATTGATCTACTCCAGTTTTCTGGACGTGTCAGAGGCCGCTATGTCGGCACATCGGTCCAGGAGATCAAGAAATGTGTTTCCTTCCTTCCACCGCCGTGGTTCGTGTGTGGCATCGGAAAAAATTGCAGACCAGAAGATCTTTGGGTGATGAGTGGCGAAGGGGGGACCAAGTCAATGAAACGTCTTCGTTGTCAGGAATATTCCCGAGACGTCCTCACGGACGAACCAATCTTCTCTGAGAAGATTGGCAGTCGTTTTTGGCAGAAACGTAGAAACATTTGACTCCTCAAAAACTCTGTATCCTGGCCCGTCAGACGACGTCAAAGGCCAAAGGGGCATCTTCTACCTCCGGGAGAGGCTCCTCTTTTCGTAGCAAAAATGGAGAAACCAAAACTCCCAATCATCGTCCCATCTGAACTCATCAAACATCCATCAACAACTGCGGCACGATCTTCTCCAAATCCTCAACCTAGCCCAAGAATTAGCATTCCCCATCTATCTTACTCCCGCCACTGAAAAACAAGGGGCTCAAAAGAGAATAAACTCACCTCCAAAAACCGCCCATCGCTCTCCTGCGCCGTCCTAGCAATGGCCTCCTGCACAAAAATCTCAAAATACTTCCCAACAGCGTGATTCGCCGCCTTCGACATCCGCGTATCCTCACGTTGGAAGAAATCGTGCAGAATCCTCGTGAGCAGGTCGTCGGGGATCCTCTTGACCTCGTTCGCGTCTTCACCGGGGCCCGGTGAGTCGTTGTCCATGTCTACATCTCCGGTCCTTGAGGCGCCTGAGGCCTTTTGCCAGCGGTCTGAGGTGTTGTTGGCTCGGGGCTTCGTCGCGTTTGGTCGTGTGCTTGACGATGATGCCTTGCCCCCTCGGGATGTGGATTCTCTGGGCATCGTTACTGTTTTGTTCTCTTAAGTGGGAGATGGTTTAATAATTCCCTCCCATTCGTATTGGGAAACGCAAAGGAAACACTCGTCCGTCTCTAGATCGAGTTGTGTTGCATGTCCTTCTCACAACGCTGGAATAATAAGGAGTCCTTACTGGGAGCCCACTCTGCTGGTGGGGCACAACTCCAGAGAGCAAATCAGGCGCCAAACCACGTGCAACCTACTCTTCTGTGGCAACAAGGTCTTCCTCTACCAAGCCAGGACTTGCAATTATAGTCCCCATCAAAATCATCGAACTACATTTATTGTCACGATTTTGAACACGAATTGCACATTGTTGCTCAACGTCAACTTAGATTTTAGAGAATCAAGGGAACTTCGCCGTTAGGTTATATTACAAGGGTCGTTGGTTGGTTGGTCCATTACTCCAGCACCAGAAGAGTATATGAAACAAGCCGAAAAGAAACCCTAAAAGCAGGCTGCTCAAAATGCCAAAGAGAAGCCTTCCCAGCAGTCTCCCTCATGCAAACTTCCATCTTTCGTCTGATATGAAAATATGAAACGAACCATCATCCATTTTTTGTTACCCCTCTATTGCACAACGTCCAGTCCGACTTACATCATCCACCGCGACGTCCCCTTCCCCGAGTCTAGTAGTGACACGCTTATTTGAAGGCCTTGCCGAAGAGGAGGACCTGGAGCTGATCGTAGATGGAGAGCACACCAGCACCGGCAACACCACGGAGAATGTTGGCACCGGCACCCTTGAAGAGGGAGCGGACACCCTCCTTGGCGATAATCTGGCTGGCGGCATCGAACGAGCTCTTGTACTTGACGGCCTCACCAGAGGTCATCATCATTCGTCGACGAATGGTGTCAAGAGGGTAGGAGGCGATACCGGCACCAGTGGTGACGCACCAACCGAGGAGGAAAGAGGCAAGGAAGTTGTTGGCGAGGGCACCGGTAAGGACGACAGGCTTGATGGAATCGTACATGCCGAAGTAGAGACCACGGTAGACGATGATACCAGCGACGGAGGGCATGAAACCACGGTAGAGACCGGCAATACCGTCAGAGGCGAGGGTCTTGCGGTAGACGTCAACGAGACCGTTGAACTGGCGCTCACCACCGCTCTTGGCGTTCTTGGCATCGTTGGCAAGACGGGTACGGGCGTAGTCAAGGGAGTAGACGAAAAGGAGCGAAGTGGCACCAGCGGCACCACCGGAGGCCAAGTTACCGGCCATCCACCACCAGTAACCATCACGGTCCTTCTTGAAACCGAACATCTTCTTGAACTTGTCGCGGAAAGCGAAGTTCAAGGCCTGGGTGGGGAAGTAACGGATGACGTTGGCAGTGTTACCACGCCAGAGAGACATCACACCCTCGTCGGCCATGGTACGCTTGAAGCAGTCAACGATACCGTTGTACTTGCGGTCAAGACGACCAGTCTTCAACATCTCATCCTGCACTGTTTGTTAGAACGCTTCGTCCAAATAAGAAATGGAAATATCGAGTTGCTCCTCCCCGATCGTGATGGCGTCGTCACACCCAACCATGGTGAGGGAGACAGAGCCAGGTGGATACAGGGTATGCCAAAGAGCAATGAGGAAGGAAAAGAATAAACGACGAAACTGACCTGGTTCTGGATGAGAAGCTTGACACGCTCGATGGGAGCGGCAGCGGTCTTCGAGACGGCAGCGGAGACACCGCCCACTACGATGATAGTTAGTGTTGGTTCATTCAGTATAGTTCCCCGGCATCGGAGTCGACGTGATCGTTCGCTCGTCGTCGCGAATTGACGGCGAGCATCGCGATACAGGTGATATCGATTGATAGAACGTACTCAGGAAGTCGACCATGAAGGGCTAGATGATGAACAATTGTTAGCTCCATGCCTTCCGGAGTATTGATGGATGTCGTTCCAATGGGAAGGGAAAAATTTTCCCTCGCAGAAGCTGCGCGGCCGTCGCCATTACCGAGGCCCTGGACCGAGCTCTGAGCTCGCAACCTCCACTGTCGCGACATCGCACAATCCCAATTGAAGGACGACGATGTGCTCGAGATGGCCGCTTCGAAGCAGAACAGGATCCGATCGGGCCGCGGATGATGGGATGGCCATTGGCATTGGCGACGTGGATGGCGACGTGCAGAAGGAGGACACATGAGAAGAACTTACCGGAAGCCCCAGAATCTTGTTGTCAGACATGGTGATGGCTCAAGAGGTGGATAATGAATCTCGACGAAGGAAAGAAAAAAGGGAGAGAGCGGAGATTGATTCCCGACAGTAAGAAAGGAGGGGAGAGGGTATTTAAAGTGTCGTGGTGAAGCGACAACTCTTTATTTTTTTTGGTTTTGGGGAGATGGACAGGAGGAAAAAAATTTTGGGATACGAACACCTTTCGGACTTTTGGCTCGTTGGCTGGGACTAAAAAGAGCGCAGGGACCAAGACGCGCCCCCACCCTCCTGCCTCCTTTGGTCCACTGGCTGGGAAGTACCTAAGCATTAGACAGGTCCTGTGCGGTCCTTGCTAGCTCCTTCCTGGAGTACTCATACTGAGCACGGTAATTTTAGTGGGAAGGAGCAATTGATTGGCAATTGCCCAGTAACCTCGCTCCCGCTAGCCCAGCCGCCCGGCTACTTCCCTAGCAACGAGGTCCACAGTAATTTTTGAGGTACAGTTGTGCCGACTCCTATCAGAGAAGTCAATTACCACCAAGAGGCTCGAGCCGACTTGCTCCGAGAAATTCTCGGACCAACCGTCCAGGCACTGTACGGGAGTAACATTTTGCTACCGAAACACCGCTATGGTGCCTTGCAACGCCCAGTATGATTTCCGAACCAGCCACTGTTTCGGCATTGATCCAGGAGTGAGAGAAAAAAAAAAAAAAAAAAAAAAAAAAAAAAAAGCCTTTATTTTTGGTTATCACCGTCCATCCGCGGCTATGGGCGGCCTGGCTCCTCAATCTGAACCATCAAATTTTGATGGCGTCAGCTTCGCATTCTGCTGACCGCCTGGAAATACAAGTATAATGCTCAATTACTATTTTCGTCTCTAGACAGATATCTCACGGAGGACAACCTCTGCATATGTCCTCGTGATGCTTTGAATGCTGCAGCTGCATTGGTTTTCCATCTATCCAAGGTGAGATTGCAATATTCACCGAGGTTGCCGATGGACCCGCGCCTTGATACACTTTCACTACGCCATCGACAATAAAAAGTAACGGGGAAGGAGAAAAATTCTTTCTCAATGTTCCCTTTCCCACAGTGTACCCAGGAACACAGTACAAGTAAACAGGCACGGCTACTGCTTCTCCAATCCGGTTGTCCCAAATTTCGCGTATCTCCGCAAGCCGTGAACCATAGCCGTAGGTAGAGACGGAGGTCCTCACTGGGTGGACGGGCGGAGGCTCGGCCAGCCCTTCGCCTCACGAATCCGAGTCGCTGAATTGAAAAAGCTTGGTTGGGCCTGTATTATTAGCGGCGTCTTGCCTTATCGCCTACCTCCTTTGTACCCCTACCCCATCACATTACATCTAGATCGTTTGCCCCTTTTTGGAAATTTGGTCCAGAATCACATGAAGGAAAGGTCGGCGCCACAGGGATTGATCAACATTCTTCAAATTCTTCCTTGCTCTTCGACAAGGTTAATAGCGTTTTTGCCTCCACTTGAAAAGATTGATGGTCGTGGCTGGTTTCGGAGTAACCTCGCAAACCAAGGCTCGGAATTTTGATACCTGAGTCGCTTGGTCCGAGGATACTGTATGGGGTGTACACCTTCTTTGTCCACAGATGCTTGTCCAGGTTGTCTTGGATGTGGATGCCCACATATCGCGCAAATTCAGCTATAATACCGTATATTCCGTACTTCCTACCATCCATCCTCGAAGGTGGCTTTCCCCTTGGCACCAAGACATGTGGCTTCGCCAATGTGTGGCTTTTCTCTCGCTGCTCAGTAACTGCGACACCAAGTAACAACTGTATTAGCTCCCCGAGCACTCATCCTCCTTGCCATCTTCTATACATTTTCCTCCTCTCCATTCGCTAACTCGAAAGAGGGATTGGCCTCCCTCCCTGAACCCCATGGCTGTCCCGTTTCGCGTTTCTCGTTCCTCATCTCCCGTCTCTCGTCTCTCTCCTTACAGGAACCGAAAAAGAAGCCCGCAACCGGAGACTGGGTACAAGTTCTTGGGGGAATGGCAGAGCACGGGATAATCAGGTTCCACGGAGAGGAAGGGGACCGGGGACCACCAGGCTTGAGGTCAATCGAAACGATCCGGTGGTTGTAGGACGTAAGAGATATCCGTGTCCCAGAGGTTCACTGGCAGGCCAATAGCCAAAAGACATAAACTCGTTCAAGGTTTCGGCCAAGCGGTCATATTCACTACCCTATTCTGTAGGAGGGACATCTGCCCAGAAGTAAAAGGGGGGGGGGATAAAGTCCGGCGGTGGTATGGAAGAGTGCGTGCGTTGCCAATTCAAGGATTTTTCATTTCCCTATGCTGGAGCGTATATCCGGGGCCAAAAGAAAAAAACGCCTCGCGGAGAGTGCAAACTCATTGTGGGACGTATGCCCGCCCACTGCCAAAGCCCGCCGTCTAACTACCCTCAGCCTGATGTTTCGTATCAGAGTTTTAACTCCTCCATGAACCCCCCCGAACAAAAAAAGATTCTACATAACCGGCGTGAGAATTTTCCGTTGCAATTTAGTCCGAAGCGCCAACCGCACGAGCTGAGGAAAAGGAGAAAACCGTTAGCTTTTTCTGATTCTGGCAGACGTATAGGGAGGTGGGGTGCCGTAATGGTTCAGGGCCCGATGTTTGAAAGCCAAGCCTCGAGACCAATTCCACAAGCGTGCGTTTGTACGGGTTCACGACATACTGTAAATCTTCATCTTGCTGTGCTCAACAACAGGCTTGATCAGGCCCTTCTCCTCGAGGTCCCTGAGGCACTGCCTGGCGAGAGAGCCGTTGATCTTCATTCGGTCGACGAGGGTAGCGACGGTGACGAGACGGTAAGACTGGACATCCTTGTAGAGCTTCTCGGTGGTGGCCTTGTCGAGGATGACGGCGTGTTGGGCCTTGTCCTTGACCTTGCCCTTGGACCTAGATTCCCGCCCTCCGTCAATATCCTGGTCCTGCGTCGCAAAACAAAATAGCAATGATGGATGAGGGGCACAGGGAAGTCGTCGACGAGCCCCGATCACGATACATACCACTTCTTCTTTTGCTTCTTAGCTCCTGCAGCTGGCGCCTGTCGAGAGCGTTAACATCTTTGCGTTAAAAAATAATCAGGACGGCAAAAGCCCTTCTTCTTCAGAGTAATATTCGTACCATTTTGATATGTGATTTTCCCTTGGTTGACGACTCGACGTTGAAGGTTGGAAAAAAAGGTCAAGAATTCGCAAAGAGGTAATGGAAGAGGGTCACACATCACATCACATCCACAGACAAGAGTTCGTCTTACCCAGAAAGGCGGGAGGGCTTGCCCTACTAGCAATTCTGCGCGGTGGGGCTACACACGCCACTCTGATTGGCCGAGACAGCAACCCCCCAATTTTTTCCCTCCACACAGCAAAAGTTGAGTGAGGGCTTCAATTCCACTTTGGTGGTTCGAAAGTCTGCTACATTTTCCAATTGCTACTGACCGAAACGACCAACCCTTCCCTCGACTCCCAACCGCCCACTGCATCCCCAAAGAGTGAGTCGCGCAGAAACGAGAAACATCACCAAGTAAAATTCTCGTTCAACACGCCGAAATTTTTTATTTCCTACTCTTTCTAACCCGCTCCTTTTAGATAGCCCCCGGATCAGTCAATACCCTCCCCCCAAATCAGCCAACATGTCCGACGCCGGTGATATCGAAGTTGAGAACGTCGAGTCCTACAACATCCTCCCCAAGGAGGTCGCTGAGGACCTCGGCACCGTCAAGCTTTTCGGTCGTTGGGACTACGACGTCGAAGTGCGAGACATCTCTCTCACGTATGCCATTTCGCGAAATCTCGAAAACCTTGGATATATGGTCGGTTGTAGCATCGCTAACCACTTGGGAAATTATGTAGTGATTACATCTCCCTCCGCAACCCCGTCTACGTCTCCCACTCCGCTGGCAAGTATGCCGCCAAGCGATTCCGAAAGGCCAACTGCCCCATCATCGAGCGTCTCACCAACTCGCTCATGATGCACGGCCGCAACAACGGCAAGAAGCTTATGGCCGTGAGGATCGTTGCCCACGCCTTTGAGATTGTGAGCACACCCATCATCACCACCGGCTTAACCAGGGAGGAGCCTAGGAGAAGGATGACGAAGAGAGGAATTAGAATAGACAGGGACACAGATTCTAACACACTATCCCTAGATCCACCTCATGACCGACCAGAACCCCATCCAGGTTGCCGTCGACGCCATCGTCAACTGCGGCCCCCGCGAAGACTCTACCCGTATTGGTTCCGCCGGTACCGTCCGCCGACAAGCCGTCGACGTTTCTCCCCTCCGAAGGGTCAACCAGGCCATCGCCCTCCTCACCACTGGCGCCCGCGAGGCCTCTTTCCGCAACGTCAAGTCTATCGCCGAGTGCCTCGCTGAGGAGCTGATCAACGCGGCGAAGGGAAGCAGCAACTCGTACGCCATCAAGAAGAAGGACGAGCTCGAGCGTGTGGCCAAGAGCAACCGATAAAGGATTTCGGAACCCGGGTTTTATCTGTTTTACTCACACACATCGGGGGAGAACCATTTCGAAACGGTTGGTTGTCGTTGTGTGGTTGTGGCTGGCATCGGCGTAGTTCCTGGCATCTTTCGAATGCTGCTTTTGCATTTCTGCGTTAGGGAGGGTCTTACGAGGAAATGGCATGTTCTTGTCAGATAAGGGCTTATGGGAAATTCCTTTTTCAAAATTTAGGGAGAGGAAGCCCGGACTCGGTAGAGAAAAATGAAATAAAAGTCTCTAATTCAGTGTCCAGCAGTTGATCGTTTTTGTTTCGAACGGGAAAAACAAAAGTTACTTGTATTGTCTTTTATCATGGTACATAGACAGAATGCTGTCCTTCCAGACTGCGTATATACTGTGGTTTTATTGTCTTTCTCATGATCTCATATAACCTGCGTATCTAAACCGTGGTCTTGTAATCGCCATATCATCCTTCGGTAGAATGGTCATGGAAGAACATGAAGAGTCGAGTATTCTTCGAATGCAATATGCATCAACACCATTTTTATGCAGAGGATCATCTCGCATCATGCATGCCTCTAACTCTCTTTACCAAACGCGGTAGGGGTCTGAACGCTCCAAGTCTCTCTAGAACTCAGCGTCAGAATCGGTCTCATTGCTAGACTCAGAATCGGCCCCGTCGTTCTTGGGCTGGCCCTCCTGCCCCTCCTCCTTCTCTTTTTCAGCCTCCGCCTTCTTCTTCGTTTTCTTGCCAAGTTTTTCCAACTTAACAAAAGGGTTACCAGGGAAATCAGGAGGAAGTAGGGGGTTCCTCAATCCAGGAGGGGGCTTCTCGATATCAAGACGAAGAAACATGCCGACGTGAGGAATACCCTCCTCGTCCCAGGTACCCATCTCCTCATCGACTTTGAACCCCCATTTCCCCCAGGCATCGGCAGCCTGCGCCTGCGCATGCGCGCAGACGAGGCCCTTCCATTGTGGGACGGCCGAACGCACGGCATCCAGTGGCGCAAGGCCATGGGCCGCGACGCTCGGGTCGAAGAAATAAGGATTGTCGCTCATCCACTGGACGGCGGACCTGACTAGGAGCGAAGCCATCCCCTGCCCGCGGTACTCCTTGACGACGGCGAGCCTGCCCAGCTTCAAGTACGGTTCCTGGCCGTCGTGGAAAGTGGTAGCTCGGTCGACGAAGTAGCCCAGCTCGGTCTTCTGCACGGAGGGAGGCGGCTGCTTCTTCTCATCAGCCTGGGCGGCAATCTCCTCCTCCGTCTTTCCGCCCCAGTACTTTGCGCCCTTGATAGGGTGCGGATCATGAGGAAATGGAACGATACGAATCGTTCCAATAGGCACGCGGCGCGCCTCACTCTTGCGCGGCACGAGCACCTCCCCCGTCTTCTCGTCGAGGGCCTCCTCGCGAATCGTCTCACGCACGCTAGCGTAGACAACAAAGTGGCACGAGCGACTATCATCGTCGTCGAATTCGTTCTCGGCGGGGACTTTCTGCTCCTCCACGAAGACCTGCTCGCGGACCTCCATGGCGTCGAGGAAGGTGGGCGGCACGGTGTCGCTCTGCTGCGACCTCGGCAGACCCCGCTCGTAGGCCTGGAGGTTGCTAGGCTTGAGGGTCGCCAGAAACGGGGTCGCCATTCTCTTCTTGCGGTCGGCCTCGCTCTCGGCCTTGGGGATTCGCTTGGCTTGATGTTCGGGAGGTGGTTCCCAGCCGATGCCCACGAGGGCGGTGGCTGTCTTGAGCCGCTTGTCAGGTGGACTGGACATTTTGCCAGCTGGCAAGAGGTGTAAATCTGTCACGTGTATTGCCACGTGGGTAAATTGTGTAATTTCTAAATCTAGATTAGCGCCTTGGCGGTGTGCTGTCTCGGTGTGCCTTCCTTTGGTCGAGATCACGGTTTCGGTCAGCTTGAGGGAGCTGAATTGTTGGCTGTTTTGGAGGGCAGGTCTCAACTTACCTTTATGTTGTCTGCAGGATGGCCTTCTTTGTTCTTGGAGATGATGAGGGTTTTTCACAGAGGAGAAGAAAAACAGAGAGCTTCACTGAGGAGCTATTTATTCTCGACATTCTGTCAGCGACAAAGCTGGGCTGTATAAGCATCGTGAATCATTGGTTATTCGGCCATTCACTGGCAGTGCCAGTTGATTATGTTCTTTTCCCAAGTAGTTCCTTCTTCTTCTGCAAACTTATCTTGGAAGATTCTTGTCTGCTCATTATAACTGTTGTGTTGTTGTTTCAAGGGAGACGATATTATCAAAGGCTCCTTTGTTGGAAGTGCCATGGCCTCTCCTCCAGCTTGAGTTTATTCCGCTCAGGATATTGTCAAAGAAGGAAGCAACGCTGTACAGCTAGGCCCTTTGCCAGCTGCGAAGCCCTCTATCAATACCATTGAGATATAAAAGATTGGTTGACAAGAGTAGAGGGCGCCGAAGTCCATAAGCGCCGGGTTCTGTTTTGACTTGAGGAGTATTGCGACGAAGTAAACTGCCTTGAAATTTGCTAATTGGAAATACACGAACTTCCATCCAAGTCTTGATATATCGACCTCCGGGAAACCGTGGATTGATACGTCCTTGGAATCATGTGGCTTGAGCGACTGCGTGTGTCCCGGTCGTTCTCCTTCCACTCTCCTCCTCTCCACCAGCTCTGCGGGCAGCCGAATCACACCAATTGATGTCTTAAAAATGAGATCTAATTGTGTTATTTATTTCGAACCTTCAATATTCCTCGCTGTTTCCACAATGCTTTTTTCCTGGGTTGCAAAGCCGCTTCAAACGTCGCATTAACATAGATCTTCACATCCACACATCATCATCTCCGTTACCGCGTGGTCCTCTCTCCCCTTAGCATTCGAAGAACATGGCGGGCGTCACAACTTCTTCCCGGTGACCTAAACTGGGTTCCCCCGCAAAATTTTAGACCTTTGCCGGGGACTAGGATGTGCCGATATCTTTTGCGATTCAACACACCGGCCGAAATTCCCGGATTCGGGAAAAGCGCCCCGTCAATATTAATACTACTCTTATAGGACCCAAAAAGGGCTCACCTCATTACTACAATACTACCCCATGTGCGGTCACGACTCGTCATCACTAACCTCAAGCGGGCGAAGAAGCAGCTCCGCGCAGGGATGCGTTGAAGATATGTCCGAGAGCCATCCGTCACCTGCGATGTCGTGGTGGCGGAGCGCCTTAACGCTCAAATCTGAACTCCTAATCGCAACCGCGGATTCACATGAGGATTGTTGATGATCGCGGTGAATGTAACGTCCGCTGGTATAAAATGGATGCCATTCGGACATTCCATCCGACTTGGTTCCTTGAAAAGATGAGATATCCAAGGCCATCTGGTTTCTAAATTCAATACGACTTGCCGCCATGCTTCGCCAAGGACTTCTGACTACACTTTCCTGCCTCGCGGCAATCAGTGGCGTAGCTACTGGTAGGCCGGTCGAGAGGCGGAGTGTTATCAACCACGACGCCGTCGTGGGCTTCTCAGAAACCGTCCCCGCTGGGACTATCGGCGAGCTTTACCTCAAGTACAAGCCGTATCTCAAAGTCTTTAACGGTTGCGTGCCATTCCCGGCCGTAGAAGCCGACGGTGACACCAGGTATGTGAAGAAAACACTATCCTCGTTACTAGTTTTACTCAAGATCCGCTCACAATTTGAATATAGCGGCGGTCTCTCCCCCAGCGGCTCCCCCGAAGGCGGCTGCTCCAGCAGCACCGGCCAAGTATACGTCCGTAGTGCACAATACGGCAGCGCCTTCGCCATCATGTACTCCTGGTACATGCCCAAAGACTCGCCGTCCTCCGGCCTCGGCCACCGACACGAGTGGGAAAACATCGTCGTGTGGCTCTCGGGCGCAAGCACGTCGGCGTCCGTCCTCGGCGTGGCCGTCTCCCAGCACGGTGGACACGACAAGAGTACGTCGCCCGACATGTCGGGGACGCATCCTACGGTTGGGTATATTAGCTACTGGCCCGTGAACCACCAGTTGATTTTCACGTCGACAGTGGGTGGGACGCAGCCGTTGGTGGCTTGGGAGAACTTGACGGATGCGGCGAGGAAGGCCTTGACGGAGACGGATTTCGGGGATGCGACTGTGCCGTTTAAGGATTCTACTTTTGGAAACCAGTTGGCGAGTGCGGCGCTTTAGGAAGGGGTGAACGTCGGTGAACGTTGAGGGTGTGTACATAGATGTATATGACTGTGTGTGCAGGTGTCCTGTGTGAAAGATTCAATATGGCCATATAGGAGAGAGGCACTTGCCAAGACATCAACTTTGAGAACAATAATCAATAATCTCTCGGCCACACAGCTTCCCGGGACATGTATGCGCCCTCGCCTTGAGCAGAAGGCACGGTACTATATATTAAGCCAGAGAATTACAAAGCTTGCTTAAGCGACTCGGCCGGGAATGCAGCATTGTCGGCTGTACTGGCCTGACTCGAGATTACGCCGAAGATGTGAGAGGAGAAGAGAGAGGCGGAGATGTGGATCTATCGACGGTTCGGCGTAGTTTCATCGTCGCCTGTGCAACATGGGAAGTTGAAAAAAGGAGCTCAGACATCAGTGATGATGGCTCAGATGTGTGGGCTTGGGGGAGACGTTGGTGTAACCAATTACGACTTGAATGTGTTACTCTTAAAAGATCTCGATAAGTCGGATCTCTGGTCTTCCCAGGAATAAATTTGCAGGTATTTTTCTATTTTATTTTTTCTGAACAATTAGAAAGCAACTTTCCTGGCCGTGACTGCCTGATACATCCAATCCCAAACACGCCGTTCTGTTTTTCTTCAAAGTTAAATTCCTGACCAGATCCGATTCTGGTAATCGTCATTGCTCTCTTTCAGATTAATGGTCCGTTAATTTGACCGACTTGCGACACTTTGGAGGGGGGGAACAAGCAGCACCACAAACCCCACAGGGCCTTCATTATCACTAAATGCTTCGCTGTTTGCCCCGCGACAAGTCATCATCACCCACGAAGTACAGTTGCTTCTCGACAGCTTTGGACTTTCGCGCGGCCGCACAAAATCTTCCCTCGACAACGACCCCCAGCTAGTCCGTTTCGTTCTCCTCGAGTTGATCAATTGCTTTCATTAATTGATCTGCCTAGGTTTCAAACTCCTGGCCGGTTTTTGTTTCTCTGGCCCCCAGAGCGATGGACACATCTCCAGATTTCTCGGGCCACGAGGTCAACGCCCACAACGAAACCACGATATCTCGAATCCCCAAGATCCTTCCACACGAGCGCGTGTTCCCTATACAAATTGGCACCGAGCTATTCAAGCTTTCCGGAGCCTCTCTCTCCTCTGACGGTAGGGCGAGATGACTACCCCGCATTCCATTTGATATTGGAGCCCCCCCTCGGTGATGGCTCTGTTTCGCAAGCCATTCGCTGGGTCGTCCTCCCTCTGTGTGATAAAAAAAAATATAGAAATTTGAGTCGGTGTGCTGACTGCTTCGGATGACAATCACATCCAGCTCCTTCTTACTTTTCGCAATACTTCCTCTGCCAACTCAAGACCGCCGAAAGCAATGGCGAGGACCCCACCACTGCCATCCGCACCCTCTACATCGACCGCGACCCCGAGACATTCCGAGACATTACCCTTCATCTGCAAGGCTACCATGTCCAGCCCCGCGATGGCACGCACTTTGTGAGGCTATTTGCCGATGCGCAATTCTACAATTGTATGGATGCCTAGTCCTAGGGTCTGGTCACACGTGGCCTACATATCTAGATGCGTACCTAACCGTAGATTTCCTCACAGTGCCCAAGTTGATATCACAGCTCTACGAAGAGTCCATCTTTATATGCATTGGCCACCGCGAATTCCAAATCCCCCGCGACATCTTCAGCGACCCCGGCAACTCGCCCAACTTCTTCTCCCTCGGCTTCGGCGCCTTCTTCTCCAACCCCACAGACCTGTTCCCCGGCCTCGACCGCGAAGGCCTAATACGCCCGCCCTCCATCCTCCCGCCCTCCGTACCCCACCGATCCGCCGACACCTTCGCCGAGATCCTCCAGCTTCTCAAGGGTTACCCCGTCCACATCCGTAACGACGCCCACCGCGCCGAGCTGCTCCGCGACTGCCGTTACTTCAACTTTAAGGGCCTCGAGCAGAGGCTCATCCCACACCACATCAGCTTCAACCAAACCCGCCAGAAGAAGGAGATCGTGATACGCGTAGAAGACATCCTCAAGAGCGGCATCAGCATCCTCAAGGAGGGACCCGCGACCCCCGCCGATTCCCCCGTTGCTTGGGTCAACTATGCCCGGCCTTTCGTCGACGACCAGGCTTCCGAGCTGGTCCTCGAGATCGGCGGCGAGACTACGCGGCTCCATTTTATCGCCTCCGTGGCGCGGGCCGAGTTTTTCGGTGAGGTTCGCACGAGGGTGACGCGCCTCTTCGAGGTCATCGCCACGAAGCTGAACCTGCCGCCAACCACGCGTCCGCTGGGCCTCCTCATGGCCACAGGCGGCGCAAACAGCCAGCCGGCGTCGCCCGGGAGCACGCCTCTCAGCGGTGACGACTTCGTCAGCGTGGTGATCGAGCCTGAGACCGCCATCACGCTGGACGGCCAGCCCTACAGCCAAGCAGACCTCGACGCCAACGCTGCTGCCGTACCCTTCGCGGAGTGGATCGTGAGGAGGGGTCAGTGGAGGCTGAGGATACAAGGGTCGACGACGAATCCGAAGAGTTCGTTGGAGTGTGTGCTTTTGGCTGTGAAGCTTGATGCGATGACTTCGGAGAGGGGCAGGAATGATGCGCGGGGGTTCTTGAATTCTTAGGATGGGAGAGGGAGGTTTATTTTTCAGGGGCGCATTGTTTATTCCCGGGGTGTAGTTCGGGTTTTTTTCTTTTTTTCATATGCATTTTTCGATTTACATTTGGATGTCTAAGGCGAGGTGTTTTGGGTGGGGAGTGTAGGGTTAGGCGGGATATAGTTCTGTGTACGGAGGGATTGATATTAACAAGCACGTTTTCAAACATGGAACTGGGCGTGTGTTAGTGGCATTCGTGCGGTTCCCGTGTCGTTGAGGACGTGCTGGCTGAACAGCGTTCCTGCTGACCTCGAAGATATTGAAAGCACACTGAGCAGGTGGTTTAGGAAGTCGGGCGACTACGATTAAGGCTCATCGGTGGGAAGAGCGCAAGACTGCCCCGGGCACGCAAACTACGAAAGAAGCCAACCTCACCACAGGAACGAAGATCATAGGAGCCAAGTTGGGATCAAGAGCAGTCGGCCTTTCTCTCGATCCACCAGGAATTCCCTAGATAAAGGTATGAGTTGCGCTCACCCTTGGGATCCCATGCTCTATAGAGTGTGTGCCTCCTGGCAGCCTGCGAGAGGTTTCAGCATTAATGGGGCTTGGACCGGGCGGGCGGTACTGCTGTGAGCTCCAATTCTCGTGTTTCGCTGTTGAATTTTGAGGAAATTGTTTCAGGTTATAGAAACATAAAAAGGCAGCAATATAATGTGCATTCTCGGATTCAAAGACCATCTCATTTCACAAAGCTCGGGGAGCTGCCTGACTGATGGGGCGACTGGAGATGATTGCGCAATACCATTTGAGGCACCCCGTCCGCTATATCCGAGACCTCGCCCTCTTTGCACCCTTGCTCCGTAGCTTTGTAACCCGCCTCAATCAATTGCAACACTGACCGGTGCTGTTTTCAGAGCTGCCAAAGAGAGCAGAGCAATGTTGAAGCTGACAAGTCGACATTGAGCTCGTTCATCCCTACGCTGCTGTTTATGCCCAGTGGGCTGATTGTTCCCTTCGGGTTCCGACAGCTGCTCCGTTGGGTGGTCGGAATTAGCGGTGGGCTGCTGTTAGATGATGTTAGGGGTGATTGAGGCTGTGGGAGACCGAATATCAAGGTTTCCAACTTTCGATATTCCAGGGTCTCTCAATAAACTTTTCGGTCCCTTTTTCAGGGGGTCTCCCGAGAAAGCCTCCCACTGCTTACAAGATTGATGAAATGAGGCAGCCCGGGGGTGCCGTTTTCCGAGGTGGAACACCGCCGAACGGGCCGTATCCTGGGGATTAATACTATTCTTGTTAAGGAAATGGGGTGCTTTTTCTTCCCGGCTTGAAACGGGGTGGTGGGACAGACAAGATTGTTTTCCAACTCACCTTCAAACAGGGCGGGGAGGGACGCGTTGCTCGACTATGGGTTCTCATGAGGTCCTTGGCCCCTTTACGAAAATCGATGACGTTGGAACTTGACGGGCTACATTCATTCGTTTGACACCCTTTGAGGAAGTTCGCTTTCGCTTCCCGCCCACCATCCAAAAGCCCACATGGTGCTTTTGTCCCGTCAGGTACTGGTGTCGAGCTACATTTCGTTTTCGTATACTGCTTATTAGAGCAATATTCCATAGCTAGGCCTACGACGAGCTCCATCAACAATCAACAGCAATCTCCTCGCAACTTCCACAACAGTGACTACAGAAAAAAAAGTATATAAGCTCCCAAAGAGACTCAAAACTCTCAAGTCCGAGATAGCTTCATAGCTTCCTCTGCAATATTTCCCAATGTCAATCAAGTGTCTCTCGCTCTTTCCTTCAACCCCGATGTTTGCCCCGCTTCCCTGACCAGACCAGCAAGCTCCTTCCGTTGCCACTTGCAGCTTGAACACCAACCAATCCTGGTTCCTGCCTCAAACCCGCCTCCATTCTGCTTCTCTCCTGCCTCTCATTTGGCCCCGTTGTCGTCGCTCCTGCCTCCCTCTTGCTGCAGTGGAACCCACTCTGCTGTCCTTCCGGCTCGCAACTTCCGGAAGCTGAGCTGGATACGTGCCAGAGCTGCAGGAGCTTCCCCGCTATACCTGCTATACCTTCGTACCACAACTCAAGTTAGTGCAAAGAGGATAAGATCATAATACAAGTAACCATGAAGGACATAATGCAGATAATGTATGCCTTACTCGTCTCCCAAAGCCTTTGATGTCTCCATCAATCTCTCCGACTTCCACCTCTCCACCTCCCTCCCCATCTTCCCCGGCCTTCTGATGCCGTCTATTACTTTTCCTCAAACTTCTTGCTATTTCTCGTCTTTTCCCTGACCCGTCTTCATCCCTAGGAAGAGTAGTAGTTCAATTGAAACAGAGGCAATTTCGAACACACCCCTCGAGATATTAATCGACTCTGCCGAAATGGTCCATCTTGCTTCCATTCCAGTGGTTAATGGAGATAAACCTCAAAGCGGGGGCACGCTGAAGATTCCGAGGCCGCGATCTCCACTTTACCTGTCTAACCATTCCGACTGCTATACCACGAGCGTCTATGGCTCACGTTTCGCGGCCGAGCCCCTCCCGAAGCTGGAGATGCCCGAGGGAGAGATGCCTCGGGATGTGGCCTATCGTTTGATCAAGGACGAGCTGAGCTTGGATGGAAACCCGATTCTCAAGTAAGCCAGGCGCCTTTTTATTTTGAGCCAACTTGAAAAAAACCTGTAGATTTGTCTAAACGTGTTATAAAATGTGTGAATTGAAACTGATACCTTGGGTTTGGATAGTCTGGCTTCGTTCGTCACCACCTACATGGTACGTGGAAATCCACTTGACACTTCGTCTCCTTACCTTGCAAGTTGACTAACTCATCGACATAGGAGGAAGAAGCCGAGAAGCTTATGACTGAGTCCTTCTCCAAGAACTTCATCGACTACGAGGAATATCCCCAGAGTGCCGATATTCAAAATCGATGCGTGTCCATGATTGGCCGTCTTTTCAATGCCCCCTCTGCACCTAACCATGTCGGTGCCATCGGAACATCGTGCGTTGGTTCTTCCGAGGCCATCATGCTTGCCGTCTTGGCCATGAAGAAATGCTGGAAGAATAAACGCGTTGCCAAGGGTCTCCCGTGTGATAAGCCGAATATTATCATGTCCTCCGGTGAGTGTTTCGAGCTTGGAGGCCCCTCGGCCTCCTTTGGTCTAACCTCTGTCTTTGGAGATCTCACTGACGCGCAGTTTGACAGCCGTCCAGGTCTGCTGGGAAAAGGCAGCGCGCTATTTCGAGGTCGAGGAGAAACTTGTATACTGTGCTCCTGATCGATATGTTATTGATCCCCAGCAGGCTGCGGATCTGGTCGATGAGAATACCATTGGCATCTGTCTCATTATGGGGACTACGTACACGGGTATGAGGAAAAGACCTACTTACGATGTCTCATCCTAACTCAGGCAATAGGCGAATACGAAGATGTAAAGGCTGTCAACGAGATCTTGATCGAGAGGAACCTGGACGTGCCAATCCATGTTGACGCAGCTAGCGGCGGTTTCGTTGCGCCTTTCATATCGCCCGAACTTGAGTGGGACTTTAGGTGTGAGAAGGTTGTATCGATCAACGTATCGGGCCACAAGGTAAAGATACACACACATACACACACATACACACACATACACACACATACACACACATACACACACATTGTCCTTATCCCATTTGTATCCATGGCAGGCTAACTAGTTTCCCCAACAGTACGGCCTTGTCTATCCTGGTGTTGGTTGGGTTTTGTGGCGTTCGCCCGAGTACCTCCCGCAGGAACTCGTCTTCAACATCAACTACCTCGGCGCCGACCAGGCTTCCTTCACACTCAACTTCTCCAAGGGTGCATCTCAAGTTATTGGTCAATATTATCAACTGATCCGCCTGGGAAAGAAGGGTTATCACGCCATCATGTCCAACCTGACAAGAGTTGCCGACTACTTGACCGAGAGCCTTCGCCAGAGTGGCTTCATCATCATGAGCAAGCCCGCTGGTGAGGGTCTTCCTCTCGTTGCTTTCCGTTTCGCCAAGGACGAGAACCGCGAGTATGACGAATTCGCGCTGGCCCATCAATTGCGGGCCAGGGGATGGGTTGTACCTGCCTACACCATGGCCCCTCATACGAATCGTATGAAGATGCTCAGGGTTGTCGTGAGGGAGGACTTCTCCAAGAGTCGCTGTGACAATTTGATTGCCGACATCAAGCAGTCGGTCGAGTTCCTTAACCAGATGGACCGCGAGAGCGTCAAACGACACGAGGCTTATATTTTGAAGCATCATACTGCTAGTGGCCGGTCTACGCATAGCCCCACGATCTACACGGTAAGTTGACACACCCAAGATATTTTTCCCTCCTTTTTACTTCGCAGAAGAGGGTGCTGACTGACTATGGCCACTCGATATAGAAGGAGGACCACTCGTTGCAGGCCAAGACTGGAAAGACGCATGCCATCTGCTAGCCTACTCGCCATGAGCTTTTCGAACTGAGCACTCAATAGGAGTTATCTGGTGTTGCGCTAGTTGGCAACGGAAACCGATCCCAAAAGTACACGGATAGACAGTCTCTTCGGTATTACTAGCTGTATTTCGTAGCAGAACTCCTTCAAGACTTTATGAATTCCAAAATGATGATCTTTCTCCCGTTTCCCAGCATGGAGGAACCGCCCCGTTAGTCTTGTGTGTGTTCTCTCCAGGCTTGTGTCCCTGACAAGTCATGAGGGGCATTCTCGCCATGAGAGAGACATGGAAAATATGTTCTTAACGCAAAAAAACTCCCTCGGTTCCGGTCTCCGTCGACATCTCGTCATATACAAGTGCTTCGTATATACACTAGACAAGCAAAAAACTATGGTATTCTTCAACGAAAACCATTTTCCAAGTTATTTTTACCTCCTACCGCTCCGCCCCGCCCGCCTAGCCGCCAATATGCTCTTTTTTGGCATTGATATGAAGGTTTCCCCCTTCCATACATATCCCATCGGAGATCTGAAGGAGGGGAAGTAAACCGGAAAAAAACTACGAGAAAAAAAGTTGACAGAAAACAAGAATGGTATCAAATGGAAGACCACGTCCCAAGATTCAGATCACAAAAGAAGACAGGAAAAGAAATCATCATCCCTCGAAAAAGGACAACCTTTAAACAAAAGTGAGAAAAAAAGATCTTCCCTTCCATCCCGCCTATGCCAACTCCGAACATATGCAGAGGTTGAAAACGGCCGTCAAAAATATCGATAATAAAATCCAAAAAATGATCTCGTCGTGACGCAAACAGACTTGTAAATCGGCTCCCCCCGAAATTCATTCGTGATTAGGTTAATAAAAAAAAAAACGTTACATTTTGATTCACTTTGCTTCGGTGACCCCCAGGGTCCCCTGGCAAAGAAAATCGGATATATCCCTCTCCTCTCTAAAAGTTCTTCGACGGCGGAAATTTCTAGGGATTTCCGTCTGATTTTTCCCTTCGGTTTAGATAATGTTCGCGATTGAAATCCTCTCCTGATTTCTCTGTTTCGCTTCCGCCGGGCTTCCTGCCGGATTCGGGCCGCTCGTCGCAGGTGTTGGAGGCGGTCCGAGATTGGTCGGCCTTCCCGTGACGCCCGGTTCCGACTTCACGGCCGTTGAGCCGATGCTACCGCCTGCCATCGGAGTCGTTGACCACGTCGCGCTCGTCGGTGTCGGGATAGCGCCCGCGCCAGAAAGGGACTTGACGCAGGCTTCAAGTCTATCCCAGCCGCCCCAGTCTCTGGCCTCCTCGCTCGAAAGACCGAGTCTATGCTCCGCAGACGTGAGGTAACTCCCGTTGCTTGGGGGCCCTTGCGTTGTCTGTGCCGATGGTGCTGGGTCGTGTTCGACACCCGTCCAGATCCATGATCTTTCGGGTGAGCCTTGCTGGTCGGCTGATACATAAATGAGAACTTCCTCGTCGCGTAGAAGTAGTTCTTGCAGAGGCGAGGGTCCAGGTCGGCTGGGCGGGGGAGCGAACGGCTGAGGAGGCGAAGTCCGGGCCAACATGGCGGCATACTCCGCCCTCTTTGCCGCCAAGGTCGACACGAAGAATGCCAAGTACCTTCCGCATGGGATCGAAACGTCCCGCCTTCCGTTGATGCTTGCCAGAACTCTGACGCACGTTATGGCTCGATCTACATCTCCCAAGAGCAGCAGGAAGAGTGCACAGCGAAATGTATGCATCGTGAAAAACCCCGTCGCCGAGTCAGCTAGATCGGTACTCGTTCTCGAAATCAGGCTCGCCGTCTCCAATGCCGTGTGGTAACACTGCTCCACCGCAGCGAGTCGTACATCGGGCGGGCACGCAGAGTTAAGGTTATGTCGATGCAGAGCAAGCCTAGCATTGAGAAGATAGGTCAGGGGCAGTAAGAAGTGAGGAGCCAACGGCACCGCGTTGGAGGGATCGCAGGCGGGCGGGAACATGCGTAAGCACGAGCCGAAGTGCTGATCGAACGTCGCCAGGCGTGTGGGGGCGATAACAGGGTTCCGGAGCGTCTTGAGAAGGGCGGTGTAAGACCTTGTGACGTGGATTATCGCGTGGAGGAAGTGGGTGAGAGGCTCCTGGCCGTTGGGGACGTGAATACCGCCGTCATGGATGTAATGGTCGTCGACAGGCGCGGGTAGGGGCACGTCGCAGTCGTCGTCGTCAATCGCTACCGGTCGTCCAAGTTCAAGGGCCATGCTCCTGTCCAACGCATACATCGTCCACCATACTCGTTTTCGCATCTCGCCTTCCACAACCGGCCACGGTCCCGAATCGAGATAAAGCCCAAGGTCTTGGCCGATTCTGATAGCGCTTCCCAACCAATTCCACGCCGCTGACTTGAGATTCATTTCGTTCAAGCAAATGGCGATCAGGGTGTAGGTTCTTGCGCATTCCAAGCCGTGATCGTCTGTCCAGGGATCAATCAGTCGTTTCGCCTCTTGGAGGAGTTCGGCTGGCTGACTGAAACGATCGCTGTGCCTGTCGCTGCTAAAGAGGGCACCAGCAGCCAAGACGGCGAAGAAGGTTGAAAGAAACGAGGGCGCGACCGTGTACGCGCCGTTGTTGACCGCGTACATTTCGTCAATAGTGCGCTGAAATGTGGGCCAGTGAATCATCGGGAACATGGTATGTACCGCGGCGTAGTATGAGCGAAGTAGTTGTTCCACAGCTTGTCGCTGGGGCAATGGCGGTCGCGGGCCGTCGTTGGATACTAATGGTCGTGTGGACCGGTGGAATTGGGGTGGCGGCGATTTCCAGATACCCTTGGAGAGGTCTCTCATGTTTGTCCTGGCTCTCGATAGATCGTGCATGGGTTGGTTCGGCCGCTTCCTGCGTTTCGGATCGGAGCCTATTTCCGGAAGATGTATCGTCAATTGCTCGAGACTCTCGAGGTCTAGATCTAACTGGCCATCTCGGTCCTGCAACATGCGTCTTAGGCTGAGGTTCTCTCGTCGCATCCTGTCCATCTGCTTCTCAAGGTCCTGGACTTGCTTGATTGACGACATCCGCCGATTCGTCTCCTTAGTGAACTGACACTTGACATTGCGACTGGAGCATTCGGAACAGCTTGTCGTTTCTGTGGCATCACACTTAACTTTTCTCTCCCTGCACGCATCGCAACTCGGATCCTTCCGCCTTTGCCTATAGGCTCGTTTTTGAGTGCCTGTGCCCCCGTGCCCAGCCGAGCTCAAGGATGCGAGAGACTGGTTTGGCGTGTTAGCTGCAGATTCCCCGGAAGGAAGAGATTCTCGGCCCATCGCGGAGGTCGCAGTGACGGGCGTATACGGCTGGAACGACCCGGCCTGGCTCGCTAGCGGGATCGGTGGCGGTATTCCAATGGACTGAGGCGGCTGCTGCTGCTGCTGCTGCACCACATTCCCTCTGGAAGACGGATTCATCGAATCTATGGGATGGTGGGATGTCAGGGGCCTTGGCGATGTTGCTGAGGAGATGGGTGATGAGTCGTAGGATCGCACGGAAGGATTCGGGGATCGGGAATAAGATAAGTTATGGGACATGGCCGAGTTCACGATGTTCGCTCGCACTTCCTCCCGAAGATCAATGCACTTGGGCACAGGCTCCGTTCCTTGATGAGCAACGGGCGGTTTGATGTCCAGGAACATGCAGGCTCTTGGTCGGGACGGAGTGGAAGCGTTCCACAAAACTGATGGAGTTTAGGATAGAACGAGTGTTAAGGAGAAGACGGCGGTTGAAGAATCAGAGCTAAAGGGTCTCTTTGCAACCCAGGCGAATCGATTTTGCCAACTCCAGGGGTACAGTTTCAAGCGGTCAGAAGATGAGATGCCCAACGGGCGGCTAACGAGGATGGATTCGCGCTACAGTCCAGGGGTTGCCGAGCTATGTATGCCGTTTTCTCCTGGAGCGACAACGCGGATACCGTGAGAATTTGGCAGAAGACTGTTACCGGCCGACGGCCAGGGTCCGCACAGGGCCGTAAATCGAGATTTCTATACCAAGAAAGTCCTCACTTGCAAGAGAGAACTGTTGAAGAAGAGTCCTCGGCTGCCGTTGGAATGCGATCCACACCCTGCGAGAAAACTTTGGTCGATCGTCGCGCAAAGCGTCGGTAAGCACAGGCGCATAGGCAGAGTACCACCCGGAAACTAATCAGCGAACCCTTGCGTACAGCCGAGAGAGTGGCTATTGTCGTATGCCTTCCACAAAACCCGACTCGACGAAACAGGTGATATTATCGGTAGATAGGACAAATCATTAGCAAGTCTCCGTTCTGACTGTGGACTGGTGCCTGTAGCGCATTAGAAGTCGGGCAAGTCGAGGTTCTGGAGGCTTAGATGAAGCGACAACATCGGCAGGAGAGAAAAAAAAAAGCGGAGAGGAAAAAAAAGAAAGAAGAGATCAAAGATAAAACAGAAGAGTGCTGGAAGAAAAAGGAATAGACCTGAAGAAGAAATGGGGCAAGAGCCGTTTGGATGAAAGTAAATGCAGAAGAAAGGGAAAGTGTAGCAGCAAAGTAGAACTGAAGAGAAGAAGAGGATCCAAAGAAACCCCCAAGACGCCAAGTGGGCTGAGGAGTGAAGACACACCCGGAACTGAAGGTGGGAAAAGGGTTCAGAGCGTCGAAGGGAGCAGCGCCATCCAGCAGCATCCCAGGAACGACTCCTCCTACAAGCTACCTCTACGACTCGAATGAAGAGAGGCTTCGAGGACCCAGACCTTGAGAGGTGTAAGTCACCCGCTGGATGGTTTGGAAAAGAGGTGTGAAGGAGATACAAGAACTTCGTAGGGTCAAGTTTGCAAGACGAGGGATAATAACAATAGAGGGGAGGTTCGGTAATGGAAGACCACCTCAGAGAGGGAGAGAGCGAGAGAGAAGAGATCAATCGTTGGCCCCAGAGCGTACGTATGTCTGCGTCTGTACGTGCGTGGTATGGTAGTATTATGAACTGTCACTCGATGGGGAGAGGCCGGGAGGGGGCGCTATTATCA